TTAGAAGAGCTGATCCTTTATTTCAGTAGGCTCACCACCTCGTGCCTTATGAGCCACCACATAGTTTATAAAGATAGAAAAGTAACCTATCCCCATCTTGCTTACTTGAAAGCTTGTTCTCCAAAGGCCACTGAAAATAACTCCCAACTTTGTTCTCAGGTTCTTTCTCAAATGAGACCCGCTGAATTCTTCACCAGAGATGTATTTTCAGGAAATTTAAGTAGAAATTGTCATAGAATCATAGAAGCATAGAATGGTTGAGTTGGAAGGGAACCCAAGGATCATGAAGCTCCAACCCCACCGCCACATGCAAGGCCAGCAAACTCCACATTTCATAGCAGCCCAGGCTGCCCAGGGCCCCATCCAACCTGGCCCTGAACACCTCCAGGGATGGACAGGGATGGAAAAAACTAATTGTTTCAGGCTGATGTCACAGCTGTTTCATTCCTTGTAAATTTACCAAACCTGCATTCTCTTCTCAAATGTCTTTAAGTGCTACAAATGACTGCGCATAGCAGGTATCGCTAACCACGCACCTTGGAATGTGAAATATTCATTCATGACAACAGTTTCAGACAGCTTTAACCCTGAATTACATCAGCAGTCTGCATGGCAAAATGATAATTCTCCTATTTGTGAATATTATTCAGTAGTAAAAATTACCAGAAGACTAAAATCCTTACTTAAATTTGCTTAGGACTGTGTACATCTATACTTAAACATTTTACCTTATTTCTGATGAAATCTTTGCACAGATTCCCACTAAAGCTGACTCCGTTTTTTTTTTTTTCCAATGCAAAATTTGTTCAACATTTAAATAATAAAAAATAGTTGGAGATTCTGTTGTTGTTGTTGCTTAAAACCAAAGTCAGAATTTAAGTATTCAGTAAAGCATGCTCCGAAAGAGCTTTTTAATAAAAAAAAAAAGAATATAAAACATATTTCCTGCTGATTCTTGTTAATGAAAGCCTCTTCAACCTGCCTAAGCAGGGTGGGTGCTATGAGATTGAGAGTCTGGCTGTCAGTTTTGGAAGGATATGCATGAATTCAGTGACTGACCTTGGGCAAGTCACAAATTCTGCCCTGTGCACGGGAAAATAGCTTCAAAATATATGTCTATCACAGAGGGTATTATAACAGGAATTTCACTGATTCCTCCACTGTATCTGGAGAAGTTAAAAGTTTTGCTATGTTTTATTTGTATAAAGTAGAAAATAAGTGCAATTATCTGCAGGAAATGCAAGGAGCACGTGCTAATAACAGAAAGAAGTTGCATGATAGGTAAATCCTGCAGTCTTGAACTTGCTAATCCTTTAGTACTCAACAGAATTACTCTGATGAGTAAAACTCTGCTGGAACAGGGCCTCTATCATACAGAGCCACAAAATACAATATGCAAAGAAACTGCTCTCTAGCAAATCCAAGGATCTTTATGCATCTTTTCAAGAAACAAGCATGGAAGTCGTTTGGGAAGCCGAATTATAGTTAAAAGTTTCATAAGACATAAAAAGAGGCTATTCTTCTTTTTAAATGTGAAGCCCTGCTAAAGGAGAACAAGAACTGTATGGATTCATTTTTGGGTTTGTGCATGAATATCAACACTAAAAAAAAAAAAAAACCACTAAAAAAAAAACATCCTGAGGAGTCCAGCACCTTCTGGGATGCTTATCTGCATTTGTGTTGGATTATCTAGAACTGCAGAATCATAGAATAGAATCATAGAATTGTTTGAGTTGGAAGGGACCCATCTGGTCCAACCCCCGGTAACGAACAGGGGCAATACTCTCAGTCTAACATCTAACTATGAATATCTGCTGAGATTAAAGATGGTAAATTGCATTCTTTGGGTTTTGCTTGGATGTAAAACTGTTCTACAAGTCTAGATACTGCAGACCATTTCCCTTCTGCATTCACCTCCTCATACTCCCATATGATACCTTTATTGGTAATTCCTTGAGCAAGGCGTTTCCTTGACTCTTTGCCCTCACCAGGAGCTCAGTCATCCTATACTGATATGAAGAGAGGCCTTGGTAGGGATGTATCAACCCACCAACTTCTGCCAATCTCCCTTAGCTCACCAGCACTTGAGGCTGTGATCATGGGCCCAGATGAACCCGGTACCAGTCTCTGCTCCTCAGCAGAGGAACAAGAGGGACACAATGAATTTCAATGCTCCTGGGAAATGTTGGGCTATTATGTCACAAAGAACTCGCAGAGTCTCATACCAGAGTCCATATCAATGGTGCAGACAGCCAGCAAATGGCTAGAAATTTAACTACAGAACAATGGTACTGCCAACTTTCCTTCCTGTCGCAGGGGTTTTCACCTGGACGCAGAAACCAGTGGAAGAGATGAACTGTTCATTTATCCTTCCCTGCTCTACTAGACTCGTGTTTATAGCTCATTCTGCTGTACAGCTTGTGTTCTGGTATTTCCTGGTACCATCTAGTGCTCCAGGACTGGCCCCAAGCTCTTTTGTAAGAAGTTTGGTATAAAGATGAGTTCTAGGAGAAAAACATTTTGTCATCCAAGAAGGGCAGCTCAAAGAGATTTAAATAATTACAAATTCATGTTAAACTCATTAAAATGTTTTGGGTAATTTGAAAAACGATACTGTGAAAGTTCCTTACAAATGATTTCAAGGGTTTTTGTTGGGAAACATTTTGTTCTAAACTTTTACAGCATGATATTCAAAAGAAAGAAAAGAGCTAAAAGAAAGTAGCTTTTGCTAAAAAATAATTAGTCTTTGTTTTATTCAAATGCACTTCTGTTGTTGACACTTCTTTTTCCCCTAGAAGAAATAACAACAAAAACTTGGAGTTGATCCCTCTTTTGTTTTTTGGTTGGTTTTTTTCTGAATTTTTGGGACTTATCAAGAAAACTAAAACTTCAACTTTATGTGAACAACTCTGTTTCTATGAAGAGCCACAATAAACCGGCCTGCTCTATGACCCCAAAACACTAACAGAGCAAGCTAAAGATGAGACACCTGGTAAGACAAAAGTGGGTACACAATTAAATATACATTACAGAGCTCCCTGCTGCTCATCTGCTGTGGGCAGGATTTGGGAAGTAAGGTGGACCTTATTCAACCTATTGTATACACACACACACATATATAAATGATATATTATATATATTCTGTATCAGTGTTATCTTCAGCTGAAGACATCATATGGATTCAGCAACACTGAGAGGATGCAATTCAAAGGATGTGGAAAGCCAGAGCTGTTGAGACAAATACGTGTGTCTCTGAACTGTGGAAATAGAAAGAACATAATATAGCAACTTGAGAAGACTAGCTTCTCTTTTTACCTTCAGCAAGGCTAGCAGGTAACTGTTGAATGGTAACAGCTTATCTGATCAAGCTGCTGGAGGTAGTCAGAATTCACAGAATCATGGAATTGTTACGATTGAAAAGACCTTAAAGATCCCCAAGTTCAACCCCAGCCCCAACACTCCAATGCTCATTGACCACATCCCTCAGTGCCACATCCCCATGGTTCTTCAACATCTCCAAATACGGTGACTCCATCACCTCCCTGGGCAGCCTGTGCCAGAATATAACCACTCCTTCTGAGAAGAAACTCTTGTTAATATCCAACCTCAGCCTCCCCTGGCACATCTTAAGACCATGACCTCTCATCCTATCTCTGTTATCTGAGAGCAGAAGCTGATCTCCCCCACAGGGAAGGGGAAGGGGAAAGGGAACGGGAAGGGACCATGAATTCACCTCAGCATCAAGCTGTGCCTTTCAAATGTCAGCCTCAAGATAAAAGAAACCTCAGATCAGAATGAGAAATACAGAGGAATTAAACACAAAAGAGGGAAAAATATCCCCATTCGTATTTGGGCAACAAGAAGAAAACACAGCAATTTTGTTATAGCCTTGGAGGCAGGGAGCATTTACCATATGCTGTCGTCTCCATTACACAAGAAGATAAACCCTGTGGAGTTCAGGTTGCACTGTCAGTGCAGTTGAGATGCTGGGGATTCCTGGCATTTGTATGACTGTGTGTCAGGGTATGCTAAAAACTGTGCAAAGCTAAATAAAGCATAGGTACCATATGCAAAAGTGCGTGTGCTTTAATATGCAGATGCTAAGTGGTAATGCTGCTAGGATATTAATGCTTGCTTGTGAATAGTAATCAGGGAGAAAAGGTAAAGAAAAATTGGTGTGTTTGTATCTAGACAACATATTAATCAGCCCCCTAAGCAGCCAGTCAGAGTGGGATCCTTGGAGGAAAAGTCTTTCCTGGGTACACATTAGACATTTTGTTTAAAGATTAAAGTTCTTCTCGTGTTTAATCAGTTTTAGAGTAGGATGGGAGAAGGGATTAATTACAGTCCCTTCCATCAGGCTCCCATACCGCCGGAGTCACAAATGATGCGCCTGCTCAGCAAAATGGCCGCCGTCAGCAGCAGGCGCAGGAAATACTAATTGTAATTAAAGAGCTTATTTGGAATCACAAAGCAGAGTTTTAATCAGGATGAGAACGGAGCCTTGCTGTGTGAACTTTCAGAAAGTGGTTACAGAGCAGAATGGGCCCTTTTAAACAAGAGAGAGTCTTAAAACTTCTGGGCTGGGTTATCAGCTTGATTGTCTCCTCAGTGGGGCACGGATGGAAATCCTTGCTGTGCCAACTATTGCTATTATTTTGCACTCCAATGGCAGTTACACCACATTCAGAAGACTTTGCAAAGGGCAGGTTAAGTTCTTTCATTTAATTTAAATTGAACTTTACAGAGGATAAACATGACCAGGTGCCACGATTCTGCAAGAAGGCAGAGAAGCACAGATGAGTACAGACCTGTGCAATGAGATCTTCCAAACTCGCCCAATGTCATTCACTATTTCCATCCCAAAAAATGCATCATGCAGTCTGGGACCACAAGCACACAGACCTCAGTTGTGTCAATGAAGCCTGGGACACACACACATTTCACAGGTCAAATGCACACATGACTTTGCAGCTACTCCAGACAGCACAGGCACTTACCAGATTGCAAGTAGAACCTTGTCCATTCAAATTCTGACTTTGGGAAAACAGAAACAGGTGGTTCTAGGTCCAGGAGATTTCCATCCAAATCCTTGACAAGGGCCTTTCTTGAGCCTTCACAGCTCTTTTCAGGGAATGTGGTGTCTTCAGAGCTGGCAGGCAGAAGAGGTGGGTTATTATGAGGCAGAGAGTAAGAACTGATGTCTGCAATTTATTTCTACTGGCAACAAACAGTCCTGCACCTCTCTCTCTACATACATAATGCTTTGGTATTTATTAGGTGAACTTGTATTCCCTGGAAAAGAAATAAAATGAAAAATAATGTACCTCAGAAAATCGTGGTTTTATTAACATTGTACCATCAGTACATTCTCAGAAGGAAATTGTAAGTTTAGATTTAAAAAACAAACAAACAAACAACAAAAACCAAAAAAACAGAAGCCACATAAATTTCTTTGTATATCATTAAAGATAGAGGAAGAATGGGTTTTTTGGAGAGGAACTCACCTTACCTGAGATATATATCGAAGTTAGACTGAATCATTTCCTAGACAAGGGTCTCTAATGAATACCCAGTAAGTTGAATGTACATATTTAGATTATATGCCTAATTTTTAGCACCCTAAAGTTTAGTGAGCTGAACCACAGGCTGAGGATCTAAAATGCTTCTAAATGTGTTTTGAGTACTGTTTAACACAGTCCAAAGGAGCTAGACAATTGGCCATATTGCACCTCTTAGAAAAACTGTAATGATATGCAAGAGGTTGTACCCAGCAAAGTCCATGGAAATATCTTCAGATTGTCATATGGATATTTTTTAAGTCTTGGAGAACAAAGAGAATTTCTTGAGTTGGAAAAACACACACTTATTGACATTGTGAGTGCAGCCAACAGGTACACATAATGATCCATAGAAAGAAAAAAGCAATCACATGGGCCAGCCCCTCCGATCCACACGACTTGAAAGAAGTGGAGAACAAAGATAGCTCTTCTGATCCTGACAGCTAGTTCAATTCTTCAGCATCTCTCAGAAGGTCCAGCATTTCAGCTGGCTGGGTCTACGGGAGGGACAAGCAGAGTACTCCATGCTTTTGCCATATCCCCTGATGTTTCTATTTCCTCCCTTGCTCTGAGGCAATGCTCACCTTCCCCTTGACAGGAGATATCCATCAAGATATCCCTTCAGGATGCTGAAGCTGAACAATGCAGCCACAGCCTGGATCAAGCTCAGCAGCTTGCGAAGGTAGATCAAATAAATGCATGCAGATAATGCATGAGGAGCACTGAGAGATGTAATCTCCCTCAGAGGTTTACCATGCCACTAAGAAAACATTCTGTAATCCACATGCATTCATCATGTTAGAAAATCACCAGCTCTTGCAGTGGACTGCGAATTCAGCAGCTCACTAGTAGCATAATATTGTGGGATGGATACAAGAGTGAAACATAATGGGAGCTGACAGGCTGGACAGGTCTCAGAAATCTACACGCAAACTAACGCCCAAAGCACAAAGCAAAAATATAGAATAGAATAAAAATTCTGGCAGAAGGCTGGAGGGGCTCTAAACATAGCAGTGTGGGACACCTCCAATTATTTTTGACTGGCAAGTGGAGTCCGTGCTGGATTATTTTTGCTACTTCAAGGCTTTCCTGACATAGCCTCTATATTGTGTTCACCGGTTGTAATAAATAATTTGGCATGTGGTTTCCATTGGACATGGTATGTTTGAATTGCTGCAACCATCAGTGACTTAAGGTTACAGACGAAGCTCTCTCCCTCTCTGCTCCGTGTTTCTCCACACACAGCTGATATTCTCCCTGGGCAGGAGCAGTTCTGGCAATCATTTGACATCTCACAGCCTGCCTGGTACTGATCAACATTTCTGATGCGATCTCGCAGGCAAAAATCAAGCTCCGCTTCCCCAGCCAAAAGGACAGCCCCTATCTCAGGGTTTTTTGCTGAAGGTCCTGACATTTGCTGAAGCCTGAGGCTGAGAATTCAGAGATGTTCAGGACAGAGCTTTAAGAAACAGGATTTATGAAACTTGTTTTGCTATACAAATGTCAGTAACAGAAGAAATCCAAGAGGACCGGTCTGGAGATGCACCTTGATACAATCTGAACCTCAGATCTTCAAATATTGCCCTAAACTGTTGTTTTGTTGTTTTTTTCTTTGTTTTTTTTTCAGGGGGATTTGAGTTTTTGCCAGACAGGAACAGCAAAGGAGCAGAGACGCACAAAGGATGGGATTGCTCTGCACCTAAAATTCCAGTCTAAATTAACTGCTTAAATTCTTATCAAGATAACACAAAAAAGACAGTTGATACAGAGGTGAGGGTAGCCTTAGAACTGTAGGTGATTATATTTTTTATTTTTTTAATTATTTTTTGCAGAAACAAGAGAAGACGCTTGGAAATGAGGCATATTACCTTGCTGCATGAAAGTAGAACTTATCCTTTTCATTGACACGTAACATCCTCGATCTCTCTGATGTGATAAGAGGCATGATGCCTGAATGGTCAGTATCTGACATGATGCAGACATCCCTGTCTTCGCCGTGGCAGCTCTTTGTAAAACCAGTAAATGTGACGTCTGCCAGGGATTAAAAAAAAAGACCAAGCAAGGAAAAGTAGTCAGAAAATGCAAGAACTATGGAGAAAAGAGCTTTGCTCTATGAATTGTTCTATGTGAAATTATAGTGAAAATCACTTTTTAAATCAGACTACTTGCATTATCATAGACCTTCAGTTGGCTTTAGAATATCCCATAGCTGCAGTTATATCTGAGGTTAACATAAACCAAGTCATGCTCATGGGAAATGAAACCAAATATTAAGTGAAAAAGAAACATGGGGAAGAATGATTAATTGATTGTATTGGAATCAGAAGCAGCTTGAAGACAATCAATGGATGGTTTCTCCACTTACCAAATGTTAACATAAAATGATTGGCATCTGGTGACATATGCTTGGCTCTGGAACTGAACTGCTGTGTAGCTACAAAATCCATTTTGTGCCACAGATTTTTTCAGAGACCCTGGGAAGTCTATTTGCCATTCTCTCCCTCCCATGCTCTTCAGTAAAAAGAGCATAATGCACTGTCTTGCAAAAGTAGGCAGCAATGAGGAATAAAGACATGAAAAATTGTGAGGTATTTAGATCCCATCGTGGCATCCAGTCAGCCAGGTTTTATTACACAAATATTGTTCTGGAAGCAAGAAATTTAACTAGAGCCAAAAACAAGTGATAGTTAACTGATATATCCTACTTTTGCACACTTTAAAAATTATAATTCCTCATGACAATAAAAGCCAAGCCATGTTTCTGTGCCATGATGTTCTATTACAAGTTCTAGACAAGATGCGCTACTCCTCAAACTTGACACCTCTATTTAGTTAGAGATGCCTTCAGATCATAGACATGCATCAGGTGGAAACAAATAGCATAGAAGGAGAAGTATGTTTGAAGTAAAACACATAAATTAGCATAATTGCATATAGCTGATACAGGAAGTGAAAATTACCAAGTGATGTGTTTTACTGTATCAACCTGAAAACACATTCAGAAGGGTTTCCCTACCATGACCATTTGTAGGTGTGGAAGGCCAAAGTTTCAGCCCTGGAAAACCATAATTAGTCAATACAGGAACAGGATATTCTCACCAATAGAAGTGGAAGACCAACCTTTCAGCTTCATGAGTCCTAGCACTTTTGGACAGTGGACAATTCTGTGCCATGGGCTATCTGCCCTCTGGCTGGTCACAGTGGTAAATTTAGGCCATAACATCCCAGCGCGGCCTCTTTGAAGGCAGTATGGTGGTCGATCCCTGGAAGTTAGGTCAGCTGCTTGAGGTTTGATCCTGTCTCTGACGCAGTCAAAAGTTGAGCTTGTTGCAACAATGGTAGAGTTTCTAAGTTCAAGGAGTCTTTTCCCCGTGTAGCACTGCTTGGCATACAGACAGTGTATTACTGGCATGAGACCCACAGTGTTGTCCACCAGCACCACACTGTCTATAATGACGCTGCTTCCAAGGTGGAACATCAAACCATAGTCATAATTCTTGTAAGACAGAAAGCCTGTTATTCTAGTGCAGGTCTGAAATCCATCTCCCCTGTACAGATGAATACCGTGAAGATTTGAATGGGCCACATTTTCACTGCAATAATCAACATCCAGCAAACACTCTTGGCCTCTAATATGAAATCCAATCCTCTCAGATCCTGCCACAACATTGCCATAGAGGGAGACACCAATGACAAGATTCACCTTGATGCCAGCAACCCAGTTTAATAAACCCTCTGGCTGTCTGCTTAGAATAACGAGGTTCCTGATGAGAGAATGGTTTTTCCCTTCCAAATCGATGCCAGGTCCGACCGTGTTGAACACTATATTATCATGCAAGCAGATCCCATTGCTCTTGACTGCTTTAATGCCAACTCCACAGCTACCATGAATGGTGGATGACATCACTGAGGACCGTTGAGTTACATTCCTGAATTCAATAGCAGAAAGTTGAGGAGGCCCAAAGTTCAAAAATTCAGTATTTAAGAGTTGAAGTACACCTGTAATGAGATAACTGCAATGAAACAGAAGCTTCCAGAACTACCTGAGACCTGGTTGACATCCATTCAAACATCACTCAGGCATATAACAGTAGGCAACCATTGCCATTGTATTGCCAATAAAGGGTATTTGTTAAAAAACATTTGAACACTTACAGTAAAAAACAACCAATGACAGAACCAGAACAATCTAAATATATTCCAAGATTATTATGAAATATGTGTGCTCATGTTTCATACATATCTCACAGTCACAGTTTGCTTAGAATTGCAAAGCATATGCAAATGGATATATCCTGTGCTATGCAGTTCTTTCTTGGCTAGAACTGGCCTGGTCAATGAGAGTAGGTGAATCTCTACTACCTTCAAACTCTCTCCCACTGGAATCCGTAAAATGTCCCACCAGTATCTTCCCAGTGCAAGGCACATCAGACTTGATCTGTATATTCCGTGTTAGGAGTCCAACTTCTGCAGACAAAGGGATGCTTCTCCCATCTTCTATGTCATGGGGATGCCCTGGGGAGTTTCAGGAGACAAAATGTGCTAAGTGTCTATCATACCTATATACCAGTGCTTCAGGGGACATCCAGCCTAGCAGATTGTGCACAGCATCTCTGTAGAATCTGCACTGACATTCAGGTGGGTTTTTCCTCCAGCACAATCTACACACATCAACACTAAAACTGAAAGGCCACCTGCCCATCAAATATTCACCATGCATATATATTTTACCAACATACTTTGCTTTTAGAAAAAGGTGCTAAATCTTTTCCCTGCGGTACAGAGATGCCAAAATCAATGAACAGATTCACACTGATTTGCTTAAGCTCTACACGCAAGAGATGTTCTTCAGTACAGAAATACTGTGTGAATTGCTATTAGAACTAGACCAACGACAGCATTAAATAGCAATTACCTACACAGATCTGGTTGCAAGTATCTCCTAAAAAAAAAAAAGTGCTGTTTGATGAGAATTCTGAGAGAGTCAATGTAGGTATCTAGCCTGGAATTCATCTCTGGTGACTCTTGGCATCTCCAGACTTGACTCAGTTATCCAGCCTGGTTTTATGCAGTGGAGAGAAACAGGCAATTCTCAAGTGCAATTCATTATCTATTTTATACATCTGCTGTAAGTGAGCAGTATGTATTTATCTGCTTTGAGGCACTGCTCATGTAGATATTTTTGTTTAGGTGAATCCCAGTAATTATGTAGCTCTTTATTTTTCCATCAGTTTCCTTTTTGACTCTTTGCAGATATGCTTTCTAGAATGAGCTATTCAGTACAGTTTGGACCATCAATTTTACAGTATCAAAGCAGCTGAAAAAGGCAGACAAAGATACGTCAGTAAAGTAGAATTGATCTTGCTGAGACCTGAAACAGAAGGTCTATGCTTCAGAAGGAAACTTTGAAATAGAAAAAATATGTTTCCTACCAATATGCCTGTGGATAAGGCGTTCGTGGAGTGTTATACTATGACCACTGACTTCTTTAAGTGTAACTAGTTCAGCTTGGTGGGCTTCATAGGAGGAAGAGCTGATCACAAGATCTCCCTCAGGCCTCCAGTCCACTTCATCCTCCACCATAATCCTGTAATGCCAAGATATGAAACCAATATAATTGCGAGTTATGCTCAAAGATTTCCTAAAAAAATTGGCAAGAATCTGCAGGGTATGCACTGAAAAAAATCCTTCTGCATCCAAAACCTGATGTCTTGAAATAGTGGGATTAATCCTGAACTGCCTGATTCCTGCCACTGATAACCAAGGTATCCAGTTTCAACGTACAGTTGTAGGGTGCAACTATGCTTCTTATCAAGGATGTGTCAGATCGTTGTTGCTTAAGACCTAATCAGTACAGTCAGTAACAAGTGAAAGGCAATCCAGCTCTCTCTGCACCCTCTGTGTTGGACACATAGAGAAGCATTTCACTGCTAAGCAAGAATACCTACTGCTATTTGAGATGTCCCAAGATATCTAACAAACAGGATTACAGTCATGACAATGTATTTTTTGAAAGCATAAATCCTTCTCTGACTCATGTGTCAACTCATACTGGAAAATATATGCAACATCTTCACTTACTCAAGAAAAAGCCACTTCCATCAGCTTTCCTAGCACTGACTTGCCCACTTCCTGTACCTAACCACATTGACTTTTACCTGGTTATTAGTAGGTTCTTAAAAAAAAAAAAATTGGCCAAGATTTTTCTAGATCAATTCCTCTCCTCTCCTCTCCTCTCCTCTCCTCTCCTCTCCTCTCCTCTCCTCTCCTCTCCTCTCCTGTTCTTTTGATAATGGAAACAACTACTGTGCCATATTTAAGGTAGGTGAATGAACTCCAAATACTTGTATCTTAGCACCTCCCGATATTTCATATAAAACATTTGGGCAGCAAGCCAGAACTAGGTTGGATCCATTTCATCCAATCTACTGACCTTCCATTAAGATAGGGAAGAAGAAGAACTTCCAGAGGGTGATTCTGATGCACCATCGCTTGCATCAGCATCTGAAAGCATCTGTCTCTCCACCAACTATACAACAATTTTAAATGATCAATTTATATTAGATATTCAAGTCTGTGAGAGCTAGCAACAAACATTCTGTTTTTGAGGTTTGTGTGCCTCCGCTGTCAATCTCCACAATGAGTCTACAAATAATTCCTTCCTAAATGCTGATATTTCACCATTACCTAGATGGGATCTCTTCCAATGAGTTTTTATTAGGCCTAACTGTTAGGTATTTTCTTTTTCCTACATGGTTGAAGTTAAGTGTTTGGAAGACTTACTGAAAAACTTGATGAAAATTTCATGTAAGAAAGTCAGGAATAAGAACTCCAGAGAGACAGGTGCTTGGCCATGCTACATAGCTAACAGTGAGTGGTCAAGGCACTTACAGGGGAGATCCTTACACAAGCACATTCCCTGGCTTGGGTGAAAAGCTTGAACTTCAGGTAGCAGACATATTCATCTAACAAGCAGCTGTGGTAGCTCCACTTAATCTGCCTTAAGATGTGGTTTCATCAAAGCCTTCTTACTGAAATAGGCCCATGTAGTTATGTCTGCTGCACCAGCTATAATAAGTTATGGAGGTGCAGCAATGGGAGAGAGAAGGTAGAAATCAAAACTATATCAGAAAAGTGAAAAATACATATCCTGAAAGGGTCACATCTAAAATACCTTACTCCTTGGGTTGCACAAGCAACCTTATATTCTCTGGTCTAATTCACTGCCTATACAAAAAAGATTTCTCAGATAGGAGAAATTATGATTCACATAAATGATGCTTACTTGCAGAAAATACTTACTGAAGTACTGATTTCTGAGTTTTGTTTAATTCAAAGGTGAAATACATATGTAAGTCTCAAGTCAAAATGAACATCCTAATCACCAAGGTATCAGCCATTGAGGATTTCATCCAAAAAGAAAGGAAAAACAGAGGGAGAGAAGGAGGAAGGGAAAGATAGAGAGAAGGATAGAATTAAAGAGAAAAGAAAGAACGGAAGGACAGAGGGAAGAAAAAATCTTAGCTTTGTTCCTCTTTAGAACTGAACTGTTCTTCTACCTAGACATAGTTTAAACAGTGTCTATCACAAAGGAAAAGAGAAATATTAGTATAAGCCACAGAAACGGGAATTTTCATTTCGTTTGGAGCCATATTTGGGCAAAAGATCACCTTTCATTGCCAGGAGCAACACTAGCTCCAAGATGTGTCCAAGACTTCTCAGGATAAGAGCTATAAATTTGCACCTTCCCATAAACCCCTGGAAAAAAAATAGAAAGCAAAAGTTAGGGAAATATTGAGTAACTAAATATATTGAAATCTTTCTCTATATTAAAGCATTTTCCTATGTTTTACAAGAAGTGTATGAACAGCACATAACTTGAAATAGAGAGTAAAGCAGAAATAAATAACTTTTAAAACGACTGTTGTACGTAAAGCCAAGAAAGGGTTTGCTGGCCTCCATTTTAGTGGGTGGGTTAATGTCCCACTTGGACAACTTTTTCATGACATACTATGTCACAGGATCATAGAATCATTAAGGTTGGAAGAGACCAGACTGTCAACCCGTGACCACCATGCTCACTAAGTCACTACAGCCCATGTTACGACAGTCCTGAAGAAGACAGTGGCAAGTATTGGGAATGCAACTCAGGTTATTCCACAAAGAAATACCTCCTATGACCTTCCATTTGTAGTGGTTTACGATGATAGGATGGACAGTTACAAAGTCTTATTTGATTTATGATAACATGTAAAACTGCAGCAATATATGCCTGCTTTTCTCACCCCTAAGATGATGCCCTAAAATATGATAGAAAGTCATGTTGTTAGCCACAGCTAAACTTCACCTCCTAAGGTTTTTAGAGTTTAAAAAACCCTTCAGAATTAATTTCCTATGTAAATTAAGTTTCTGTCTTGCCTTCTGAACATTCTGCTTACTCATCTGCTAGGTTTTTAGTTTCCTGATCTGTGTGTAACAGTTTCTTAGTGTCTTACATGCAGACTGTGGGGTTTGATGGATTATCCATTTTTCTCCAAATTGCTGTAGTAGTCTACAAATCTAGATCCTAGAAATTGCTGTTGATCGTGGAACTGAATTTCTACAAAAGTCCACCAATGAATTAAGTCTTTCAATCATAGAATCATAGAACAGCCTGGGCTGAAGGTCTAGATGATTCTTTGAGGTCAAGATCAAAGATCATCTAGTTTCAACCCCCTGCTATGTGCAGGGTCACCAACCAGCAGCCCAGGCTGCCCAGAGCCACATCCAGCCTGGCCTTGAATGCCTGCAGGGATGGGGCATCCACAGCCTCCTTGGGCAACCTGTGCCAGTGCCTCACCACCCTCTGGGGGAAAAACTTCCTCCTCATATCCAACTAAACCTCCCCTGTCTCAGTTTAAAACCATTCCCCTTGTCCTGTCACTATCCACCCTGGTAAAACCAACCATCTAAACAAATGTTTTATATTTATAAATGGAACTGAATGCACTGTGACCATGCTAATGTTTATCATGATTGTTCCCTCTCATTTCTCATATAAAGACCTCCAAACTGGACACCTTTTTGCATACTGTCCTAACAAAAACTCCACAGAAACTTTAGGAACTGACCTGGTAAATGTTTTACCTCAAAAGAATGGATGTACATTTGTAAGATGTTTTTTTTCTTCTGTGTGGCACAGCAATAGTCTCAACAAAAGCAGACTTGGCAATTGCCTAAGACTGGTATGCTATAAGGAGTTATGCTCATGTCTCATACCAATACTCCCTGGGTGGACATTTATTTCCTCCAGATGATCACAGTAAATCCCTTCAGATGCCCGAAGAAGGATCAGTAGCTTTGAATCCCTTTCTAGAGGATGTTGAAAAGAGCCTGAAATAAAGAGAAAACAGCAACAACCACCACAGAGATATCAATGGTTTTGTGATGCTGAAATGGTGCTCTCCCTTGTGTCATGGAAATGGTTTCCATGCACCTTGCTCCCTGCCAGAGGTCTCTCTAGGAGCTAAGCTGAACATGAAGAATGCCACTCGTGTCTGTGGAAACATTTTGTCCACATCCCATAACTTAGGATCATGCACGCCCAAGGCTCTCCTTGGAGTCAGCAGAGAGAAAGAAAAGTTCCTTCATCAGGTGACTCACACACATCCTATATGGCCTGGATTGCCCCTTGGCAGTGGCAGCCTCTCCATTGACTTTGTAGGCAGCCTGGAGAGACTGCTCCAAACTCAGATATTTCAGTTAAGTGCTTAAATTAAAAGGGAATGGAGAGCTGAATCTAAATTTAGAGTCCCAGGCGGGTTTGCCCAAGGTCAAGCAATGAGTGTGTGAAGACAGGAGGTTCTCATTCATCTCTCTGATCACTGAACATTTCTTTCTCCCACTCATCTTTTCCTTTCTGCTCATTTAAAATTTCACCAATTCCGAGATAACTGTTCCATTCTGCAGCCAGGATGGCTAAGAACAGCCTTTCAAACCAACAGAAAGATTTTATTAGTGGAGGGAAAAAGAAAATACCCAAGAAGTTTTGGTGCGTGTGATGTTGCTCTTATCTTGTGATAAGTCTGTACAGTAAACTGTATTCCAACTGTGACTTCATTTATTTCACCAAGGGTAGTTTACAGTTTCAGAAGAAAATGGCCCAACATTAAACAGATACTAGGGAGGAAAAAGTAGGACAGTTTTTGCCCTGGAGAAATGTATGCGGAGTCCAGTAAAAGAGTTCAGCATTCCTTTAAAATTAGAGATTAAATCAATTATGCAACAGAAAACTGCAGCAGATGTAGAACTAAAAAATATATACATATCCATACAAAATTAGCTGGCCTGTCATCTTCTTTTAATATTTAAAAATTACTAGTTTGGAAAAGATAGCTGATTTTGTATCCTAAAGAAACATTCCTTTTAAAGAGTGTTTTTAAATTAATTGAAATCAAAAAATAAATTCATTGTTCCCCAGCACTAGACAGTGCTGATATCTGACATAGACATACTGATATCTGTGGGCATTTAAATTCACCGTGCAGTTTTATAAGGATAAAAGACCAAAAGCACAAGTCTTGCACGCTCTCCATCCAGCACATCTCATCCCAATCTCATCCCTTGTTTCTGCTCTGGGAACAGGGAGGGAATTCAAGCATACAGTGTCCATCATCCATCCAACTCATCTTGACTTTCTTGTTTGAACTCCCGTACCTCCCATAGACAAACACTAGTTTCAGAGGGGAAAGCACGCGACAAGGACTTTTACCACTGATGCACTAGGTTAAACAAACATCCAGCTAGAGCTGCAGAGGAGTTACGCAGACGTTTGTGTCTATTTTCATACCCAGGGTGACTGTTTTCCTGGCTTCACCCTCCCAGCAAGACGTGATTTGAAATACCCTGGACATACCTTCCCCGGTCCTCAGGTCAACCCTGCCCCCAGTGATGAAGTTATCAGCTATGATGATGACCCAAGAAAGACTCAAGGAAAATATTTAGGCAACTTAACGCTGGTGTTATGAAAGTATTCACAGTTACCTTTTCCTAATCATAATGACAACCCTTTCAACTGGGGCGTTTTTATCATTATGAATTATTATTCGTGTTATCACCAGTGTTATTATTTTACTGCTGGTTACGAAGAGCTTAATATTTTTTTCTAATTAAGTCAATTAAAAATAGCTCTGTAATATATTCAACTCTCAGCTCTACTTTAAAACAATTTTTAAGTGGGCTTCCAGGCTTGACAGTCACAGAGAAATGTTTGGAAATGTGAACTTTAAAGGCTTGAATTAGAAGTTATGACGCTTTATAAAGAAATATATCTACATTTATCTAAAATTTGTGATTTTTTATTTTTTTTTTAATCCTAAAAAAGCATGGCAATATTTTAGGGAATGCTGCCCTTGTTAAAAGCTCTCTCTCAAATCAGAGTGAGAAACCAAGCAGCTACAATAAAAATTCATGGTTACTCATCACCGTATTAAATCCTTTAAAAAGAAACCCCAAAAGAGAAGATGATGTTCATAAGAATGGTTAGTTGCCTGGAAACTGTTAACAGTACACTACATAAAAGAATGCAGGAGGTGTCTGCGACTAGAAAAAAATTGACTTGTTTTTTAAATATTTAGAACAAAAATAACCCCAGCATTGCTTATTTCTATTAATAGTTTTAAGTCAACGAGTGTAACATGAATGCAAGGAATACCAAAGAGCTGGCCTGGAAACTCACTGAACTACTAAGGTGGACTTTTCAGTAAGTTTGGATCACTGACAGTATCTCAGAGCTCTTGAAGAAAGCTACGACTGTGCCAATATTTCAAAGAAAGATAAAAGTAAGAGCACCAGGTAATTACAGCCCTGTCAACTTGACACTGATTGTAGGGGGAAAAAATAAAAATAAAAATGGAATGTCCAACCCTGAACACAATTAATAAATCGTTAAGGGGGGATGATACAATTAATGCCAATCGACATGGCTTAATAGAAAATAGGTCCTGTGAAACTGCCTTGTTATCACCTTCTCATGAGACTACAGTTGATAAAGATATGATACAATTGGCTTCCCCAAAGCATTTGACTTGGTAGCACAAAACTTTCTGATTAACAAAATACATCGGTATGACTTAGAATATGGCACACATTGGTTTCCAGGCTGACTGACTGAAATAAGACTTTCAGCTCAAGCAGGCCAAGTGATCCTGCAACCACTGTGGCATATGACAATTTGTCAGTGCCCCAAAGGGGTATCAAGGGACTGGAAGTACACAGGTAAGTGGTAAGCCAACACAGCAATAGTTTGGAAGAGAAGAATATAGGGGAGAAAGTGAAGAACGTTCAAAATGTGATAAAACATGTCTTGAAGAGCTCCCTCAGCTTACTCAAAGGAAAATCCAAAATACTTAATGCACAAAAGTCAGCAGGCAGGATAACTTTCATGATCATGTGAAACAACGGTCCTAGGAAATCACAGCTTTTATAATAAGTCATTTTGGTAAAAAAAAAAAGAAAAAGAGTTGCTATAGACACAGGAATCATCATCTCTGCAACACACATGTGAAGGATCTGGGTTTAAGTGCTGTCTTTGAACTCTGGATGTGAGAACTTCAAGTTACTTGCACCACTTTATTGTGGTGAGTAAGCCTTACAGAAAGTCACAAAGCTCTCAAATTACCCATCCTGCACATCAGACGCAGAGAAATGGATCCCATTCCGTGCTCCTTATAGGCTTGCCAATTTGACGACAGCCTGGTTGATCATAAGGTGAGATGATAAAGCACAGCTGGCAGAGAGGTGAGAAAAGGGTAATTGCGACCAGAAGCCAACAGAACCGGTTGGTGAGAAATGCAGAAAAGTTCAGAAGGGAACAGTGCCAGCATATGTTGAATCATAGAACCATAGAATGGTTGGGTTGGAAAGGACCTCAAGGATCATGAATCTTAAACCCCCACCACATGCAGGGCTACCCACCTGCACATTTAATACCAGCCCAGGCTGCCCAGGGCCCCATCCAACCTGGCCTTGAACACCTCCAGGGATGGACGGGGCATCACAGCCTCTCTGGGCAGCTGTTCCAGCACCTCACCACTCTCATAGGAAAGAACTTCCCCCTGACATCCAACTTCAATCTTCCCTCCTTGAGCTTAAAGCCCTTTCCCCTTGTCCTGCTGTTATCTACCCTCTCAAAGAGCTGATTCCCCTCCTGTCTGTAGGCTCCTTTTAGGTACTGGAAGGCTGCAATGAGGTGACCCCACAGCCTTCTTTTCTCCATGCTGAACAAGCTCAGCTTCCTCACCCTGTCAAAGTAGGCAAAACCTTCTCAAACACACATCTTCTTGCAGCTAGGATGCAAAGTTTGCTAATTTGCCCAGATCAGCCTGGGCAAAGCTCCCAAGCAATATTTTTTCCCCTTCTTCGGTGCAGATGGGAGTAATCACGTCGATGCCAGAGAGCTGGGCTGCCTGCACAGGCACAACACAGTGACAGTGTGCCTTCCTAGTCTCCCTGGTGCTTAATGTCACATCATACAGCCTCACTGTAGGTGTGTGCAGTTCCGCAGAGGGTCTAAATTGATGCTCTTTCGGGAAAAATTGGCACATAAAAAAATACCATGTATGTAATAGGAAAATAGAAGAAAAAAAAAAAAAAAAGAGAGAACAGAAGAAGGGTATATTTTTTCTACCCAGATTTTCACTTGCTCTGGATTTGGTTTTCTGTTGCATTTCAAAAGAATTTTCCATTGTTTTTGTGTTTTACTCCGATTCCAGATGTTCTTGACAATTTTTAACGCTTTTTTTCTCTATTTTTCCACAGCAAATCCCATTCAATTCCTTCTCAGAATAGTGGGTGTTTCCTGTCTTCTAACCTTTCTTTTATTTACAACATAACACTCTGCAACAGCTGTTGCATATAAGAGCAAGGAATTCTCTGAGATAAGGCTCCCTCCCTTCTATTAGTAGACTTTGCTAAGCATCTTGCTGTGACCTTCTCCAATAGAAGCTCTGTGTTTCCCAAATCTGAAACTTCTTGGACTCTGCCTGACCAGCTACTTTGATAACAGTGGTGTATTGTCACCAGAAGACCTGCAGAATGTTTATCTGTGGTCAGTGCATAGCATTATCCTTCACAAGGCATTTCTTCAGATGTCCAGGATATACTCTGCAGTGAAGCTGTACGAAGGAGGCATCATGTTGTTGCCTCTTATAGCTGCTGCTGCCAAACAAGCAGAAGAGATAAGAGGCAGACAGAGAGAGCTGCAGCCAGCAGCCAGAAATGAGAGATGAATAAGTGAGATGTAAGATGAGATTCAGCTGCCAAAATATGGATACCTAGAGTCATTTGAGAGCTCTAGACCTCTTCAAATCCAGCGTGTGAGGATGACAGATAGGAGACATGGATCAGATAGGAACAAGAGAACAGAGCCAGATGGGATTCCTGAGTGTGCCCTAAGTGATTCAAAGTCCCTATTTTTAGGCATCTGAACTATTTTCCCAGGGAGATTCATATGCTTCATCCCTGCAGACAGCCAAGGTCAGGCTGGATGGGCTGTGAGCACTGATGGAGCTGTGGGTGTCCCTCAGTGCAGGGAGTGGGACCAGACGGTCCTTAAAGGTCCCTTCCAAATCTAATGATCCCATGATTCAATGGACTATGCTGCGGTTTCTTCATGTAGGTGAATCCTTGTTCCCTGAACATGTGAGATAACAAAGATCAGACAGAGCAGCTTAGGCTACATTTTAATCTAGACAACCATATCAAGCAGTCCCACAGAAGCAGCTCACAGGCTGATGTCCACATGTAACAAGTAAACATAAGTGCCTTAAGCATGCAAACCAAATCTCTACCCCAGATTGATACTATCAGTTGAAAGAAACCAATGGCTTGGAAAGAGCAAGAAACAGAGATGAAAGCTGAGAGATGAAACGAAGGAGATGCAGATGGTGCAGTGAACTTTTCAAAACGCTTTTTCTGTTATCTGGGATGAAAAACTTCTTGCAGTATCCCATGTTCAACAGAAGTCATGTAGCTGCACAGGGATGTAATGGGACTGTCTGATGGGACTCTGAGCTCACAACTAAAGAATATGGCACCCAACTGAGGTAGTGGAGAAGCTGGAGAAGAAAGTCCTTTGGTAAGACTCGCTTGAGCCTCAGTTGTCCATATGAGGCTGAGCATTAATCATCATTAACATATCATAGATTCATAGAATGGCCTGGGTTGAAAAGGATTTCAAAGATTATCTAGTTCCAACCCCCTTCTATGTGCAGGGTCACCAACCACCAGGCCAGGCTGCCCAGAGCCACATCCAGCCTGGCCTTGAATGCCTCCAGGGATATGGCCTCTTGCCTCAAAGGAGTGACAAGATTGACAAGCAGCCATCATGAGATAGGCAAAAAAAGAAGAATGTGAGATGTTGAGACTGAAAAGAGAAATGCTATCTGGGTAATTAGTTAGTGGTTCTACTATAAAAAGCAAAAAATAACCTGGATGAGCATAGCAGAAATCAGGATGAATCCAACAGATCGATGTGTACAGAAGGTTCTTCAACATCTTCTACAGCTTTATCAAGAACTGAGAGCTTTTTTCAGCACAGGAAGGGATCAATTTCTATGCATGCTGTCTGTTCTATATTGCTGACTTGGGTTAAAATGAATGCAGCCATCCCAGGACAGAACATAAAAGAATCTCTGGAACACTGAGATGAGCATTACCTTTCTTCATCTAAAACTGTGCACTGAGGGTATTTAGCGAATCACTTATTCTCTCTGAATCTCCATCTCTTCTATTACAGATTGGAAAAATAATTGTTTTTTTAAACAATTGCCAGCTCAGAAAGGTAAAAATAAATGGTATTTCTTGAATGTTACTGCTGATATCATCATACCCTGAGGCAACAATGCTGAGGGGCTAGGATCACTTTGTGGATAGACCCACACACATTGCTTCTTGTTTGTCTGAGAGCTCAAACAGAGGTTTTTCAATCCATTCCAGAGCATGAATAATCTCAAAGCTCACTGATTCTACTGATCATAAGTGACACTGACCACGGATTATGCCACACACTGAAGAACAGACGATGGACCATCCAACTTCAAAGGCCCCCAAATCTCCCAGCTTTTGCTGTATCTTCCCATCCCAGTTTCCCTACAAATTACTGTTTTAGCAAAGTCATTTGGATCTGGTTGATGTTTCAAAAACTCCACTTTTACACTGATTATTACATATTTCTAATATCACTGAATTTCTTACAATTATGTCTTAACCACTTGACTTAGTTTATTTTTACCTGAAAGTAAGATGCCAAGTGCTATTAAGGGTACCAAAGTACAAGTAAGTTGTGTTTTCAGAGCTTATCATCATTCTCTAGCAGCTGAAGTGAACAAAATACTCATACTGCCTGGAAGTGTTGGTTTGGCACAGGCCACTGGATTTGCAGCAACTACATGGCCAAAAATTCCTGTGCCAAAAACGGGGCATGGAGATGTTACACAACAGGGAGGAAACTGGATCACATGATGTCAACCTCAGATCCTGCTCAGACAGTGTTGAATGTCGATGTCCACATCTATTAAATTTGTTTACTAAACTGTCTCATTATCTACTTTGTGTCAGGATTTCTTTAGGGTGGGGTAGAATTGGACAGATGGGCTTCAGAACCTTCCTTCAGGCACGGAACAGCCAGGATTGGACAGATGGGCTCCAAGAAGCTACCTTTAGGCCTTGAACACATGAGAAGAGAAAGAGGAAGGGAAAACACACGCAATCTCAATTTTAGAAGCAAGCACAGAAGCCAGTGAAAGATGTTGGAAAGTTGAGGATTCTACCCACCTATCATCTTTGCAGCTCAAGCTGGAGCAAGGGCATCTCTCCAGAAGAAGCTGGACCATGATTCAACAGCTGCAAATACCTGTTTGGCTTTTAATGTCATGACTAGTCACAGATATGCTGCAGGGGACTTTGTGCAGCTAAGTGCTTCTATGTTTTTTAATAAGCTTTTTAGCAGCGAACACATGCTTTTTCTTAAAACCAATATGAAACCACATTTAAAGCACCATAGATTGGAACTAAGAAATGACTGAGAGTCTTTTAAGAATATAGATACATTAACCTCCCAGATTTAGCTTTTAAACCCTTTTTTTTTTTTACAATAGGAAACAAGGCAGCAAAATAACTCTTTTGGCCACCGCTGTATTAACTAAACAGTCCCTTGAGATTAACAGCAAACAAATACTGGAGATCACAAACAAATTATCTTTTTAAAGTTCATGAAACCAATCTTGAGAAAGGTCAGACAGTGATCAACAATGTGATCCCAGAGTCCTAAGGATTCCTGTAAGTAAATACAATGCCCAGCTTTAGGAACCTTGATAATTCAAGGGAACTGCTTAATAACTTTTGTGCAGAAAAACACTGAGCTCTCCATTGCAAGTAATGTGGAACAGCCCCAGTAATAGTGGGGACTCTGAAAGCACTAGAACTAGGGCCAGGCAGCACCTCACATGTACAGTGGGTTGAGAAGAACAAATGTTCTGAATCCAGCTGTGCCAAATGTACAACATGGAGAGATCATTCAGGTTGGAAAAAACATTTAAGATCATCAAGTCCAACCCCAGCCCACCCTCATCACGCCCATGGACCACATCCCTCAGTGCCACATCTCCAGGGTTCCTGAACACCTCCAGGGATGATGACACCACCATTCCCTGAGCAGCCTATGCACTAATGTCCAACATGAATCTTCCCTGGCACAACTTAAAGCCTATCTCTTCTCCTATTGCTATTACCTGGGAAGAGGTAACAGAATGACTAGAAGGTTTCTAAACCAAAAGGTTTCCTTCTTTCCTCGTCCATCAAGAATAGAAATCTCCAGGTAACCCCAAGGCAGGCTGCTCACTTACCCACGTTCAGTGTACCTCCCACAACCACAATACAGGCTGCACTCAGGACATTGCTGGAGTTGGTGGGGAACTCAAGAGTCCCAAGGATGTAGAGACCTCTTAGAGGAGGAAGATCTGTGTCCACCAGGATGGTCCGGTCTGGGAAAGAAAGCAGAAAGTGATTTGGAATGTAAGCATGAAAGTGGAGAAGCTTGAAATGTTTGCTTTTCTCGAGATTAGATTATTTAAATTTTCAATTAGAACCAGTGGAACAGGACTTGTGCGTTTGTGCCACTTCCACAGCCAGAGCTTCATCTGCAGCTGAGCATCCATGGCATGACTTTAATCTGATAAATGAATGATAACATCATATTTGTAATATTATATTCATATCTGCATGTGTAAGTCTCATCAAATGTCACATATGAACATGAAGAATGCATATGAATGGCAGCAAGTTGGTGACGTGCCGATCTCATTGGGTGAGTCTGGTTCTATTTGTGAAAATAAATCTTGATCAACTAATACAATACAGCATGAATAATTTAATCTGTCCAGATGATGTTTTTCCCTCGTGAAATTGCAGAGAACAAGAATGAATGAAGTGAAAAACTACTGCATTCCCTGTTAGTTGGTAGATTGACAGAAACCAAGGGAATCATTGTTCCCTCAGCTACTTGAGGATAAAGCAAGGAGCGTGAGTCACTTCTGACCCCATTTCCAAATTCCTTGATCCCCACTTTGACCAAGCTGATACTAGAAGTGCATTACAGCATTGGATATCACTGGAGATCAATTAATGACTTCCTGGGCTAGCTTATTTCTGTTAATTTTGGACTGGCATTGGCTGAGCACACTGACATCACTGCTGCCCCCCCAAATGTGCAAATTTACAGTCGATGAGCCATCCAAATGCCAATAAAGCTTTCATTCTAGGGCATGAGTAGGACTTAAACAGCGCTTATCTTAATGGTAGTCCACCACACGGAGGTGAATTCCCCCCTCAGGACACATCTAATGTCCTTTAATGTCACTGGGAGTTTTTCACTGGAAACCACCTCAGACTCTTGAATTGCAGTGTTCAGCTCCTTTCCTTATCAACAAGAGTAGCAGCTTCCTGGAATGGAATCTCAGACACAGCGGACGTGCCTGTAAAGAGGAGAAGGGTTCGATGAGATGCTGCCATTCAGACTCTTAATGTGGAGCAGAAGTCCCCTGTAGGATTGTGGCCTTCATAAAAATAACTTGCAGAAAATGTCTATTGTCAACATAAGGGCAGTTGCCAAATCCTACTCAGAGATTTCCTGTGGCCTTCCTTTGATATCATGCGTATTTATTGTGAGGCACAGCTACAGAAAACAGAAGGGATTAAGGAGCACACATTTTCCAGTGGCCTTTGACATAGAAGTGTGAATGGGCCACCTGAAACTCCTACTAACATGCAACATCTTCAGAAGTGAATGAGATGTTAACCCTTTTGCTTCTGCCAACACCATTAGCACCCTCTTTGACAAAAACAGAACCGTGCCATGCTCCAGGAAAGTCTTCTCCTGGGAACAGGCAATTAGTGAGCCATTTATTGTGAAGGTTTGTTAAATCTTCTCAGACTATCTGCAGGAAACATAAAACCACACAAAGCACACGCAGAAGGGGACCTCAACGATATGAGTAGGTTGGTTCAATGCTAGCATGCTCAGGTCCTTTGGTTTTGCAGTCCTGATGCGTCACAGGTGTGTAGGGAGAGGGAATCACTGCATGCTCGGCGGGCCTGGGTCTGCTTACAGATTTGCTCATGCTTTCTTCATACGCTGTCCTTGTAATTCAGTCTTTCCAGTCTTCCTTTCCATTTTTTATTCCTTCTTTCTCTCTGGATATCTGCAAAGGACACGCTGGTTGCTCTGTTCTCAAAGCGTGCGCCAAGCACTGCAGCTATCCATGGTCACTCAGAACACCCCCATCTCAAAAAAAATCCCTGCATTCTCGGGCTGAAGCATCGTTCAAACATGTGACATTCTCACAGCATTCCAATGTAATAAGTCTCTACAGAGCAAATGCAAGTGCAACATTTTTTTCCCTAAATCTCATACCAACAGTACTCCGTATATTTTCATAGGCATGAAGAAACTCTTGTCTATAATCTCTTTATAGGACAGGTGTAGTCCTATGCCCTGCAGAGCTGAGAAGGCTAGGCACAGTATGTGAGGATACGAAACAGAGAGAAGAGAATAAGGGGAAAGATGTTGTTAAAATGATATCTCTCAGACAGAACGGGTATCTAGTTTGTGAAATCACAGCTCGAGAATGTGGCAAAAAGCTGCAGCTGACAAAGGCCATAAGTATATTCATCAAACACAGACTGAAACATTTTTACAAGGAAAAGAAGGGCTCCTAGGCATACTATTTATATGTCAGGTTTCTGTCTTGAACAGGTATTTTTTGCTGAGTTGCACGTTCTTCAGAAAAAGGTTTCCTGGAGGAAATTGCGGCCTCTCTGTAACTGTAGCATCATACATGTGAGCCCTGAAACACAGTTATATGAAATTCTCCCAGAGAATCTCTGCAAACCTGGGGTTTCCTCAGTTGAACAGAGCCACAGGGTGTGATGCCTGGGGTATGAAGTTCTCAGAGGGGGAAATGTTGCTCTGTAGAGACAACAGAAGGCTCCTTCGCAGCCAAACATGTTCTTGCACACTCGAGAAAGACAAACAGATTCAAGGGAGGCCTCAGGATGAACACAGTCCGTACAGAATATGCTCAGTCATACATTCTAAGGAGATGGCTACAAAGGGGTTAAAATCATAAACCTTCAGTCACCGAGCTCAAGAGATTTACTTCCACAGAATGACAGAATTGAGTGGCTATTCTCCAATGAAGACATTCTCATAATAGCAAGCAACTGCTTTTAGAAAGTGATAGTTCAAGCCTGAAAACAGGGCTAGATTTCATTATCCATATATTTTCTTCCACACAAAAGCTCGCAGGTATGCTACAGTCTTAATGTTCAGATGTACCACACTGAGAACTCGCTAATGACTCCAGCACTGACACAAAATGCCTTTGATCAACTGTATTGCACTATAAAACACCATAGCATGCCATTGAATGGAAATCAGGCACAACAGAAGAGCTATTATATGAGATACAGTACTCCAGCATTCATCTCTTCAAACAGGAAAAGTTCAAAGTAAATCAAAATCAGAAAATGAATAACAAAGTGAATTCCACCACTAAAAAAAAAAAAAAAAAAAAAAAGAAGAAGAAGAAGAAGCAGAAGAGGAAGAAAAAGAAATTGCCAGAGGCTACATGATATCATACCAGTACCCTTCAAAACAGCATTCCACCGGCTGGAATTATAACACGTTCTCCTCCCAACCCTGAGCGCGCTGCGTCAGGACTGTGTCACACTGAAAACCATAAAGCAAAGCCCTGAAAATCCAAGGGCTTGAGAAGCTAATGCTGCCAGACCAGCATGACTAAACTCCTCCAGCTTGTTTTTCAAGGTGCAGAAGCTGCTCAAGCCTGTGTGGTGAATTCAAGAAGTCCTTGTGGGACGGCTGCAGCTCTGGAGGGTTAAGAGATAACAACGCATATTCCTGAAGCCAGAATTATCCAGCTGGAAGAGACTTAGACCTTCAGGGGAGTCAGACACTAAGGAGACTTGCAGCATTCCAGCACTGAAAGTTAATGTAACAGGAGAGACCCACCTTTGCTGCAAGAACTTCTGAGTTTCACCAATGCTTTCAAATAAGGCAAAACCAGAAGACCTTCATATTCATCCTTATTTCCAGCTCTCCAGATTCACTCAGAGATTTCAGCACTGTGTAAAGCCTGGATCAAAGTCCCCCACTGCAGTTCTTCGCACTAGAAACAAGATCTGAACAACCATTGCTTGCTTTTTTTTTCATTCAGGGATGAGAGGACTGACACAGTAATGCAGAGATAGGTCCAGAACTTGGCTTTCAAGCTGAAAATCATTGTGGATAGCTTCCAGAACAGATAATTAGGAGTAGCTAAAATAGGCTACTCACAGAGATCCCCCACAGCCCCTGTCCGTGTGCTGGGCACCCTGATCTGGTTGGCTCTGCTGGAGCAGGGGGAAACAGAGGGATCCAGAGAGTCTTAAACTGAGACAGGGGAGGTTTAGGTTGGATAAGGATATGAGGAGGAAGTTTTTCCCCCAGAGGGTGGTGAGGCACTGGCACAGGTTGCCCAAGGAGGCTGTGGATGCCCCATCCTGCAGGCATTAAAGGCCAGGCTGGATGTGGCTCTGGGCAGCCTGGGCTGCTGGTTGGTGACCTGCACACAGCAGGGGGTTGGAACTGGATGAGCACTGTGGGCCTTTGCAACCCAGGCCGTTCCGTGATTCTGTGATTCTGTGAAATGGGAAGGAAAACATGAATAAAATGCCATGACTAAACAGCTCTTAATTATTTCATTCTAGATTCTGGACCCAAGCAAGGACCTTGCATTTCTTGCAACTAGAAACTCATATACACAGTTGTGGCAGCAAAGCAAAGTATGAAAAATGGACCAAAATTTCTTCTTGCCCAGTCTGCCTAGCTTTCATTTGAGCATACGGTGCACTTGTCACACTAACAATGGCTATGATTCCAATTTAAGACACTGCACACTGTCAACTCCCACCACAAATACAGGTTTCAACATCTCCAAGCCAAAAAGAATGAGGAGGAGAGGAACAAGAAAGCAGGAAGCAAGGAGAGGGTAATCAGAAGAGACAGATGGGCAATCGAGCAATTCTTTCTCAAGAGAGTTCAGGTGATGGACAAATTTGTGCTCGTACTCATGTTGCTATTCTTGGACTAAAATAGAAGAACAATTTCAGAAATGGAAGGGTGAGGAGACGGGTTTCTGCACACCTGCTAATCATATATCTCAATTCTAGCAATAGAAGCCAAGGTGTTTTTTATCACTGATAGGAATAAGATGGGCCTGTCCACCAGTCCTACCATTTTCACATACCGTTTCCTTCTTTTTGTCTGTTAAACACTTAGTTGTGACTTTTCCACTCAGTAAAGCTCCTCTGAAGAGCAGACAGTTTCACTGCCTGCAGTGGAGGAGCTGAACACTGCAATTCAGAATTGCAAGCTCCCAGTGCCTAATCCCACTCAGGCACTAAATTTTGACCCCAAAGACTGTAAGGCCACATTGCACAGCAAGAGGCCTAAGCTAACGAGCTTTGCCTCTCAGGAGAGCTAATTAGTTCTGGTATATCAGCACGCTGATGCAGCAGTCTTATTTCCAGTTCTAGAACTAGATCAGTTGGGCTGGGCTGTGGGCAGTGCGCGATGCTTCAGGCACAGCTTAGTCATGTAGACAGAGCCTTGCGGTGTGTCACAAAGGCTGCAGTCAATATCTCATGCAGCAGCTTAAAATGAGACACTTAGGAGGAGGATTACGCTGACATTTGCAGGAAACACAGAGGTGATTTGTTCATGGGTGAATTTGCAATGCAGCAAAGGACCACCAGAACCTCAGCAAGCAGTTTTCACTTTCCTAACCTAATCAGAACAATCAAACTCCAAACCGTTAGCCAAGCTTTTTTAATTACCACCTCCTGTCTCTGTGTAGATTGTAATTTGCTTCCTGAGACTGTAGGAACACACTCTATATAATTTATTAATGTCAGTACAGAGGCCTCCACTATCATTGGCACTCTTGTCTGTCTCTGACACGTAGTTATAGTTTTTGAAGGCTGAAATGCTTTGGTCATGGATTCTAAGCTGGGATGTTTGTTGATCTGGGTATAATGTGATACACAAGAAGTTGAAACGTGATCTGTTGTAGTTCCTTTGTCTTGTTCTTTGAGATCAAGGAAGGACAAAATGCAAAATTCATCCATAGCAAGAGGACTAGACAGAGAGCAAAGCACGCAGGAAATGCATCGCTGCTTCATGCCTACATAAGGGGTCAGGTACAACAGAGGTGAGAGTGGCACAGGAACCAGGGAGAAAGGACACTTTTTCTCACTAGCATACAGGTGCAAGTTCAACATGTGGAGTACTGCTGTGGGAATAGAAGAGCAAGCCCACTGTTTTGGGTGCCATGCTTGGACTTTGTAGATTAGGGTCAACCCCTTGTTCTGGTACAGATCCCCTCTGGCCAGGCCTTTACATGGTGCTGTGTATACACACAAGGGAAATAAATGCACACCTTCACAGAATGGTTTAGAGACATACATTAACAGCAAGCTGCGCTTTCTCTCCAGGCACTCCTGAATGTGGTCTGTAGAAATGCTGTTCAGGATGCACTTTATGATGCCTGAACTAAGTCATCTGATAAGAACAAGGTGCCTAAATGTCAATCATAGTAAATTAGTTTAGACATTTAGCCCCATCTGCAATGTCCTTGGATATTTGAGACCTCCACACTACAGAACTCGCAAATACGTCATCGGGGACACATTTTTTTAGCTTTAAAAAATCAAATAATAAGTATATTTCAAAATAAATATTGCAGTATTGCGGTTTGAGAACATTAAAATATCCCCTCCCTGAGAAGAAAAATAACAGCATAAAATATTTTAATTTTGTGAATTTGTATTTTGTGAACTTTGTATTTAAGGCCTTTTATTTTTAGAAAAGCTATTTGCTGAAATTAAAGTAACTTCACAAAGTGTTTCAGTAAATCTGAAATTCTGTCAAACTTAACAGCAATTTCAAGGATGGGAATGTTTCCGACAAAAATCTTTTATCCAGCCTTCAAGTCAATGCAAACTGTCTCCAAGAAGCTGAGTGAGGGGGCAGTGTGACTTATCTTTTCTGAATATGAAGTGTTTCTTGCTACATGCATAGGGCTTTTCCCAGTTATTTCTGTAGAAGATTTGATGCTAAGAACACGTTCTGGAAGCATAATAAGGAAAACGAAATAAAATCCAACTCAACAGTTACAGAATCACAGAATTATCTTCACTGGAAGAGACCTTCAAGATGATCACAACCAACCACCAGCATGACCTACTGAGGCCCATCGCTAAATCATGTCCCTCAGCATCATGTCCACATACCTCCAGTAATGGGCACCCCATTTCAGTGCTTGACCACATTCTCCATGAAGAAATTCTTCCTAATAACCAACCTAAACCTCATCTGGCACAACTTGTGACCACTGATATTGTCAATCACCCTCATATCTGGAAGATCTCTCCAAAACACTTCCAGCTCTAAAGGACGGATAGTTGCTCAGAGAAGGTCTGAGCAAAGATGCCGACCTTGCAGTACAGGGAAAGATCAGCAGACCTTCTGTCTGTCTTTTCAGGCTTTCCAACTGTCTCAGCAAATGAGAAACTCCAAACTGATTACATTGAGACCTCTTCTCTTCCCTCCCAGTTTTCCCAGCACTTAGCTCCCAGACAAACAAGTGTAAAGGCTGTTAGCCTGTTTTTTAGTACAATGATGACATATTTTTAATGATACATAATTAAGTCCAAACTGCTATTTACACTCCACACCAAAATGCTAGCACACAACAACAGAAACTTTTTTTCCACATTGATTTCATATGCCAGAAACGCAAGGAAGAGTAAGAGACAAGAAGCAGCATTACCCCTATTTCCAGATGTGGAACAGTGGTAGGCACACAGACTTAAAAGTTTCACAGAAATGAGGAGAAGCACCAGGTCCCAGAGTATGTCAGGTTCACAGCATTCAGAGGATCATAAGATAATTCAATCTGAAAGGAACCTCAGATGCTCATTTAGTCTAACTTCCTGATCAGATCAGGGTCAGCTTTTACATAAAAAGGTTATCACAAGTTTTCTCCTCCAAATGTTGCTGCAAGCTCCATCATATCTTTGCTAGAATACAGAAAGGTGTTCATGCAATAAAACTGTAAACTGAATCAGTATTTAAATGTAACTGAAGTTTGAGGCTGAAATACAGACAGATACTGAAACATCTGGGAGGCACTCATGGCAAACGGACTGAGAGGTTATCACTGATACCAAGAATTGCAATAGGAGAATAATATAGAAGGTGGCATAACTGTGGAAATGTGAAATGTCCTCCCTGCACAAAACATAGAGAGGTAGGCCCAGAGATGAGACCTTTATGACCCACGATCCTGCTCCTAAAATAAAGTCCCTGCATACATTTAAGCCTGGACATCAGCATGAGTAACATTTTGTCTGTTTACATGCACACAGAAAATATTATTCTGTTCCAAAAATCACACTTGTTGATCAAGAAACCAACACGATCAGGTCCTGCATACACTAGAGTAGAGGCTGGTGACAAAGAACACATGCTGTATCTGTACTAACATAGAGAGATCTAAGCACCATTACAGAAATTAAACACCATCATTTCCATCCTTACTGGGTAAGATGATGACATCTTCTCCTGGACCTGGGATGCTGCAGTTGAATCCACCCCAGCCTTTTTCCACATCCTTCCATGTCTCTGGGTGCGACCATTTCAAAACAGAATCAGAAGGATCTACAAAATAGGACGCATGAAGAGAGAATTATTGTTTTCAGTAGCTGAGAGCATTATCGTTTCTGAGATAGTTAAGCATCTGTGGCATTACCATCCTCCTTTTGTCAATGATGAAGCAACACTAACTGCTCTGTGTTGCCTTCCATTCTTAAAGGAAGTTGCCAATAGGAGAAACAAAAACACCTCTCTCTCCCAAACCTGTATTTTTGGAGTTAAACTTCAGGAAGATAGCTGAAAAAGAGATTCAAATTGTTTGGGATCCAGGAAAAGCGAAGCAAATCTTGAGGCTTATGGTTTGTGAATACGCATCACAAACAACAACTTCATGGTGACGAGTCTCAAGCACAAGCGGTATGAGAAGCAGCTGAGGGAACTGGGATGGTTCAGCCTGGAGAAGAGGAGGAGGCTCAGGGAAGACCTTATAGCTCTCTACAACTACCAGAAAGGAGGTTGTGGTGAGGTGGGGAACGGCTTCTTCTCCATGTAACTAGTGACTGAATGAGAGGGAATGGCCACAAGTTGCATCAGGGGGTGTTCAGGTTGCACATTAGGAAACATTTCTTCTCCAAAAGAGTGTTTAGGCACTGGAACAGGCTGCCCAGGGAGGAGGTTGAGTCACTGTCCCTGGAGGTGTTCAAGAAGCATTTAGATGTTGTACTAAGGGACATGGTTTAGTGGGGAGATACAGGTGGTAGGTGGACAGGTGGACTGGGTTAATTAGAGGTCTTTTGCAACCTTGGTGATTCTATGATTCTATGATTAGTTTTACTTACATCATCCAAGGCTCTGAGCACTCTGAACACAAAGTTAAAACGAACAAGCAAAGATACAAGCCAGTCACCTCTTCTTTTGTGGCAATACCAGAGGACAAAAATAGTAAATTACCCAAAAAATGTCAACTCTTCTCACATGTTTTTCTTCACCAGTGTTCTAGAAAACAGATTGAATTCCTGGAGTATGCTAAATTGTGAAAGTTTTTTTAAAAATGAGTAATTAACCCTCACTAGATTTTTAGCCCATAGAAAAGCAATGCTGTGCACGTGGTAACGAAGACCTGTGGTGAAACACCAGCTTAACTGGGACACGTAGCAACTCCTACAAAGTTTTAATTTTCATGTTCTGCTTAATCCAAAGGGAAACTTTTGAGTCTCAGCAGCATCAGGAAAACATTGGGAGAAATAAAATGCACAAAGTATAGGTACTTGTGCTTGCATTTTAGACAGCTAATGAGCCAGTCTTACAAATTAATTGCTTAAGCTTGCTGTGCCATCAGCAGAGGAAGGAAAGCCTTGAGGGAAGTCCTGCACACACACGGTTTCTCATGTCCCAGACTAATGCAGACTGGGCCTCCCTCTGGAGGCCTGTGCAAGCACCTACCTCTGACTGAAATTGTTTTTTTTCATGAGGGGAGCTTCACCAGACACCACTAAAAACACAGGGGCAAACTCATGCCTACGTGCAGTGGACTAGAAATCACTCAAGAGCGCTGCAGAGAAGAAAAACTGTGCTGCCAGCATACAGTGAAATGAAGCTCAGCATCAGCTCTTCAAGGCTGGGTATTCCTTTACTTATAGGTTCAGGGGGAAAATGCTCTGTAAAAAATACCTAAGCCTTACTGCTACATAAATGATTATTGTTGATAATAAACAGCAGGGCGGCTATGAAACTCAGATCCAGTTTTGGAGGTCTCCCCCATCTCCGGTGTATTATGCTGTCTGACTCGGTGTGCAACTGTGCAGTAATGTCAGCCTATTACACTAAGATGACTGCAGAGCACTAAAACACACTGTACTCTCACATTCCCCATGACCTTCCTGATCTTCTGTGGCATTTCTTAGCAAAAGTTTATGGTCTTTTATAATGTGGAATCACACATTTATCACGAGCAATGGTAGATATGGCTCAATGAAATGCTTAAATGAATGCCAAGAGCCCCTGTTGGGTTGATAGATGTACAAAACACTGAAGTGAAATGCAGCAATACAGTTCTGAACAAGTAGTAAAAAGGAAATGGTGTGACTCCCAGACTGAACCCTTTCCGACACAGAAACCACGCACCTGATGTAGGTGAAGGGGCTCCTTCCTTCTCTTTCAGCTCCAGCTGAATTAAGTCAGCTCCTGTGACTGAACGCAGAGAATTGTAGGGAGTTACAGCAGGGCCTTAAAAATTCACCAAATCAACAACAAAAATTCACAGCGAGAGAATTGCTACACATGGCTCTCAGACAACAATTTACATTTCCAACGACAAGATTTTTTAGGAAAGACTGTGTGTTTTTTCCAACTCATTTTTGTCTTTTTTTTTTTGTATTTTGAGAAGGGAGTAAACAAATACATTTTAATTTGCAGATACTAAGGGTCTCAAGACAACTCATTAGAAAGAGCTAAAAGAAAACATTCAACAATCAGAAATTCTAGGCTGGAACATGAATCTCATTTATCCCACTATAAATCCACAGCAGTTCCACTAACACAAGCAATATTACACCATTGAATGCATAATGTATTAACTGGATCGAGCAACAAATTACAGCTTTTGTTTTGTAGTTTGGTTTTGATTCCTCCCCCCACCAAATCTGGTATCTAAAAGAGATGCTTTAATTAGTCAGACTTTATAGACTGAAGACAGGGACCCTGTGTTCTGTACTGTGAAAAGAGGTCAGAATCAATTATCACAGTTGTAACCTTTCTGCCAGTATACTGTCAGCAGGAGAGGGGTCAGGATAATGCAAAGCAAGCTAAGAGGGGCAGAAGAAAACTGCTTCAGAGCCAGCTGAAAGGCTACCTCTTCTTCATCTCCAGTGGCATATAAAGGCACTTCCTTTCAGTCACCAGACTGGAACAATCATAGGTTAAAATAGAAACGCTCTGCCAAACAGATAAATCTCCTTTACACTGCCCAACCCCTTCTGGTGACCCTAAAATGCCATTGGAAGAATTCTGGGGTAGAAGAATTGTATAAATAAAGCCATTGTCAGAACTTTCCTCAGTTCTGTCAGAACTTTCCTACACACGTATCAACCCACCGAAGGGATTTCATGCCGTATTGTAATTTACTTATTTTATCTTTAAACAAGTCTCTGTACTTTTAAATTGTGAGAATCACCCTTCCCTACCTCCCTCTTTTTCTCCCAGTGCAGCTGAGCAAATTTAAAATAACTGAGGTTCATTAATTTTAAGTGTTCAATAAATTAGTATGAATAATCAAAAAACTTGATTCTTTCCGATAATTACTATTTGATGTCAGTTGAAAGCACTCGATTGAGTTAGCAGCATATGCTCCTATGCCAAATGAGGCTTCCATAATTAAATAGAAACTGATTCCATGAGGTTTTTCTTATATCTGATTAATTAGTAATCAGGTGCCTTAGCCCTCTTCCTCAGCGACACCTTCTCTCCCAATGGTAGCTGCGGTCTAACTCGTGTTCACTCAAGCCAATCTGCCCCAAACCATCACACGGTGCTCAAAATGAACAACACCATGTCCTCGGGTGGCCAGAAGCTGAAAAATGACATATGGAGGACATAGGAACATAGAACCATAGAATGACTTGGGTTGGAAAGGACCTTAAAGATCATCTAGTTCCAAACCCCCTGCCATGGGCAGGGTTGCCACCTGCTGGATCAAATACTCATTTAAAGTCTTTGGCATACAGTTAATCTGGCTTTTAGACAACACCCTTCTATGGGCACTTGCCTCCTCAGACATTAACCCTTGCAGAGGGCATACATCTCACCTAATTCGAAATGATGACTAATTAGTCAGCTTGGACCCTCACGGTGTCACTGGAGGTATCTCAAAAGAACTATCCATCCATGTTATTATACTCCTTAGGGATGAGATACGCTGTAGAGAGAGACCTTTCTCTCTCTATAGACTGTAAAGGATAACCAGGGTAGGCTTAGACAACTCATGTAAGATACCTGTATCAGGAGAAATTAATCTCCCTGGCAGAGCTCCTCCTCTAGGCTACACAGACTAGCAAGGGAAAGAAAATCACACCTTCGGAGCAACAGTCTGACTGGGAGACTACTAAGAAACGACTGCCTTGGAGGGCCATTTTTGATCCTCTTTTAAGATGTCCTTCCTTCTCCTCTCACTTTTCAGAGAGCAAATCTGGAGCCAAAGGTGTTACATCAATTCACAGCAGTGTCAGGACAAGTAGAGAACCAAGCCTGACACTATCCTATTTCTTGATGGATAGGTTTTGCTTGATTTTTCCGACACTACAGTGCAATTGTCTAATCAGAGATGTTTTCATTGTTCAGAGAAAAGTTCTGTTCTCCTAATTAAATCCTCAGGGGACGAAAAATCTGCTCAGTGTTCTAAAGACCTCATACAGGGGTCAGATCCTGCACCCAGCGACAAAAGGACCTGTTAAGGGTTACTAGGCACAGCCATTTTCTGAGAAAAGAATAAAAACTTGTCACGTTTGAGGTGTCATCCAACCACATGGCATGACAACTCAAACCACGATAGGCCATCTGTACCCTCCACATCAGCGCAGGAATGTGGGGCTGAATTCTCCCCAGCCCAGCTGCTATCACAATTATTAATGTTGATTCAGGATGAAGTGCAACGAGCATGAACCTGTCGCATTCCGTTGCCTGAGAAGTGATCAAAGCAGGTTACAGGCCTTGAGAATCATCAGGACCATGGTGACATAGTTATCCTGGTTGTTTTGTTTCGCTATCCAGTACGTTATCATTGTTTCTGTACAGGACAGGAAGAGATATAGGCAATACAGGCAAAGGACGTCATTAGTAAACATTGAATTAAGGTGTCTCTTCACAAAATGCAGTTATAAGGCTGCAGGGTTTAGTTGTATAAAACCTTTATAAGGCTCATCAATTTTCTGCCTTATTACAGCTCTTCCTGGATGCTTGGGCTGTGAATCATAAATATAGGCCTTCCTGACTAACTTTTTTCTGGTTTAGGGCTCCTTGAGTGAACATGAAGGAGGAGCAACCTGGTCTTTTATCAGCTTTGCAGTGACAGGGAATTTTGCCTGTGGATATTAGGAAGGGCTGAAACCAGGATAAATGGCTCCAATAGCCTGACTAACAAATAACAAGCGCCTCTGTGCTATTTAACATCAATTGGGCTAACATATATCACAGGGAAATCAAAACTTTTAGACACCACAATCAACAATGTGGTACGACACACCTCTAGAAGCTGGAGAACCTGGGATAGGATTTTTTGCCCTTCCTCTGCTTGGGACCATTCAAGGAGGTGCCCAGAAATATGGTATCCTGGGGATACTGCACTAAGAAATGATGTAAAAAAGTATCTGGGCAAGTAGAGACTGATTCCTGCTTGCAGCATATTAGTGAAGGAGATGAAGCAATGAAATTCCTGCTGCAGACATCACACATGCACAAGACTGTTGCTGAAAGGATGACGGAAGCATTTCCGACCATCCAAAACAATGGATGTGGGGTGAATTTTATCAGGATGGATATCAGTGCCTTCAAAGAAATATTAATGCAATTTTCAAGCTTTTCACCTAGGATTCCCCTTTGTCCCTGAGCAATAAGGCTGAAGAAAAATACATTTATTCTCTGTATTTTAATATTAGAACCAAACTGTCTTAAGGGCCTGTTTTCCTCCTACACGAAGCAACCACAACAACCCGTGGAGCAAACTGGAAGTGAGATCATTCTCTAGGAATTTAGAAAGACAATAAGTGTAATCAAATTATATCTTTTTTTGAACAACCACGGAAACTGCAGACCTGCTTCTGACACAGCAGTAACACGAGATCCGGCCTCAGGCCCTCTTAACAACTCACACATGAGCAGCCTGAGCAAAGTCAGCAGGGTGACCTGTCTCCGTAAAAGCTGTGTCTAAGGAAAAAAATGCATTTGGGGTCAAGAAAAAGTTTGATAATCCTTCCAGAGATGTTCACAATATTGCTCGTGACAAGCGCTTGCATTTCAGAAAAAAAAAAAAAAGCCATGTTGGATGGAGAGATGGAGCAAGCCAATGCTTTGTTTTATTCCAAAAGAAAATAGTTTAAACACTTCAGAAGTGAACAAAAAGGAAGCAACATCTCTCTGGTTTGCAGCCAATTCCACTATTGCCCAGAGACCTTAACCAAGGAGCAATCCCACGCTGTGGTACCATATGCTCGTATTTGTAACAGACTTAAAAAGCTCATAACGTTATTACTGTCATTTACACAGGACATTTCTCCTAAAAATATCCCAGATGTCCCACAGTGTGATGTTTCTTTCCTCCTCTTCTGTTACAAGAAGGGTTTTTCTGGTACAATGTGGTCATTCCACATGAAGGCTGCCCTCCTGAAACAGCGTTTGGGAAACATAGAATGGCCTGGGTTGCAAAGGACCACAATGCTCACCAAGTTCCAACCCCCTGCTGTGTGCAGGGTCACCAACCAGCAGCCCAGGCTGCCCAGAGCCACATCCAGCCTGGCCTTGAATGCCTGCAGGGATGGGGGCATCCACAGCCTCCTTGGGCAACCTGTTCCAGTGCCTCACCACCCTCTGGGGGAAAAACTTCCTCCTCATATCCAACCTAAACCTCCGCTGCCCCTAGAGGGAAACCACACATTAATTCAAAGCCCGTCACTGAGGAGCACCTCTATCACAACGTGGCGTGCCCCAGAGAAACAAAAGGGGGTGCTACAAAGACTGAGAAGCATCAGAGCAAAGCTGATGGTGTCAAAGAGACTGGATTCTCCCCAGATTCCTCAGACCAAGATGGACCTCACTTCCCCTCATTCAGCACTAACAGGGAAATGGGGCTCTCCCTCCTTGAATGCCAATTCTTCTTGGTCTGAAAAGATTATTTCTAAAGGGAACTGATAAACAGAGGTGACATATGTAGGTAGCAGCAAGCACCTTTGTTAGCAGGATCTCAGCACAGGTGCCCCACATCACAGCAGTGCTCCCCCATCACAGCGATTTCTCCCCATTCAGAACCCCCTATATGGTCCCAAGCCTGCGTCTCATTTACAAAAGTGTGAGCAAGCAACGCATCAAGGCAACTTAACTCCTTTAATCCCCTCCATACGGTGCGTTTTCTTGCCTTTTGTATCAGGCTTTTTTTTTTCTTCCCCATAGAGAAACACTTGCATGTCACTGGGCCATTCTGGACAGGGGGAGCGTGCACAACGCCCAAGTCATCCATGAGCCAAGGTGGCCTTGCTCAGCTGCCCTCTTCATTTGAATAACAATATCTCCTCCTCCACAGGGCCTTCCCTCCCCTTCTCCTCCTCTTTTTTTCCCCCCCTCCCCCTTGTGTGAATTCGGGAGCCTGCCCATGAATGAGCTGGCATCTGATCCGTATTTACTGACGTTAATTTTGGATGTAACGCAGCCCTGCCACTTCCCCGCCGTTCGCCCTAAAAGGCGTCCCGGCGGGCACAAAGGCAGAGGGTCAAAAGTAAGCTGACCCCTGACAGAATGTACAATTATTAGGACGAAGCGGGACACAAGCAGCTGTCGAAACCCCACCGGTGCGGCGATGTGCTTCCCAAAGTCAGAGTATGAATAATACGCCGGAGCTCTCCCCTCCGCCCTGCCAGGGCCTACGCTGTTCTGCAGGAAGAATGATGGCCCTCCCGAAGCAGCTGCAATAATTGTGTCCCCATTGTCCCCCGTCCACCCCCTACAAGTGCCCATTGTGGGCGCGGGGTCGGGTGATTACATGCTTGGGCTGATGGCGTTTGGGCCCAGCTGCCCGGCTGCTGACACACGAGCAGCGAGAGGGGGGACCCGCGTCTGCGAGACGGGCCTCCAACATACCAGACCTTTTACATAAGTCAAACAGGAACAAATGACTCTTTATCAGCCCCTGCTCCCTTTGAAGTGGCGGCTGCTTATGGGCCCTTACAGCTTTTCCTCCTTAGCCCGAGCAAACATCCTCCTTTTGATATGCTACATGCTCATTATCTCTGCCCCATTTAATGATTTTTGATTGAAGGGTGGCAGCGCGGTTGCCAAGAGGGTAGTTAAAGAGGCTCCACACAGGCAGGGCTACAAGAAATGCTTTCCTTGTGCCGCAGACCTAAATTTGGAGTTTCTTAACAGTGTGTTCTTGTTCTTAGCAGCAGATAAGGGCTGAGCGTGAAATTCTTAATTAAGCAGTAAATAGAGAGTGGGGTGTCAGCAGATGCAGCCTGTAGCCATGGAGACCAAGTCACATGAAGGAGGGAGCTGAGACTAAACGCCGGCCGCGGGCTCGGGCATGACTGACAGCTGAAGAATCCGACAAAGCTTGTAAACGGGATTAATTAGCTGGCCAATTATTTCATATAGTTAAATGTAACTAAAAAATAAAAACAGCTCGCAGAGCGGGCTGGGAAAGCATTCTGAAGGCCAGAGCCCCAAGTGCTGTCCTCTACAGGTCGCTGCGTGGACCTTGTAGGATACCAGTGCCAGAAGGGACTGCGGTTGACTTCTGCAACCTCCTATGGAGCACGAATCCCAGCCCATGAGGATCCTAATAGCTTCTCACAGAGCTGGAGCACACCTCTCTGAAAGGACGCCTGACCATCATCTAAGGACCTTGAGTGATCGGAATGCCACATGCCACGAGTCTGCTCTGATGGCTAATTATCCTCACCCTCATCCTCACGAGATTAGGAGAGAAATAAAACGGCACACCAGGGCTAGGAATCCACACACTTTCTTTCACACTTTTACCCTACCAACAGTGGTAGGTATTAGCTACCCAACACTGAATTATTGATCTCAGTGCTAGCCAAAGCTGAAAATGTTCACTGCATGACTTATACATGTTAGGCATTGCCATAAATTTTCCTTGGTGTATTCTGATTGTTTCTCGGTATATCAAAATGAGAAATAGCATTGAGCTCTTCATATCAAATGAATCAAATGAAAGGAAAGCAGATGAGGAACAAGAATGTATCCAACATGCAAGAGTGATATGTGCTGGCCTGATCATTTTTTCCTGGTCTTCTCAAGCCCATCCCTTTCCCCAGCAATAGTAAGAGGTCAATAAATATCTTCTGAGCTTTCCCATGCTGCTCTGTTTATGAAAGTGCAGCTCAAGATACCCAAACTGAATGTGGTTGACTTTCATATTTGAAAGAACAAATCTGTGCTGTTAGAAAACTGAAACAATTAAAACAAAACGAAGAATTTTTTGTTTGTTTGTTTGTTTTGTAGTGGATATCTAACATGATTTTGGACCAGAGTTAGGCTCAACAGCTGTACTAGCAGACTAAATAAAGCCAAGTTATGGAACTAAGAGCTGGCTCCCTATATTCTATAAGGTTATATTGCTGGCCAAGCTCCTGGCAGAGCTTTGGCCCAGACCAATGCACTTTCCCAGATGGTGGCCATTATGATTTGAGAGTTAGCACAGGACAGGGATCTTTCCTAATTTGAAGCCTGGGTGCATCCAGCCTGTTTTAAGAGAGAAAATGTTAAGCTGTATGGACACAAGCTGTGCAGTGCCAGTTGGCCTCAGCACCAGAGATAGATGCAGCTAGTGTGAGCCTTCAAACTGATGTTAAGGGATAGGCCTCTTCACGTCTCTTGAAATGTACACTGAATTATTTCATTGATACTAAAGACCAAGCTTAGAGGATTACCTGCCTTCATTCCAGCTGTGTTTCCCTATAGACCCCACAAGAGAAAGTCATTTGCACACCATCTCAACAGTATAAACCCAGAACAATTCATAACAGAAATTCATCAGATCAGTGACAAAATGTTCTGTTCCTGTGAATTTCAGCCATCTTGATACTTTAGTTTTCCTGTATGATGATCAAGAAGCTGTGCTTCATGAAGTGAACTCCACTTCACTGAAGTGCCTTTGTGATTCCAGATTCTGCAATTACTGATTGCAACCATCATTATTTTTCCTTCCACACACAGAACTTAGACCTTTTTAAAAAAGTGACTTGAGAACAGGAATTATGGAAACTGTTTGCATTATAAAAGAATAAATTAAATTTGAAGATGCTGGCAATTCCATTAAATATCATCAAATACCTGAACTTTCTGAAGGAGAGGCCACCATATTTCATGATCCAATGTACAAATGTGACACTCAAAAGTTTGTGTTGCTTTTGAAAGTTTACAATCACAGGGAAAAGCCTCACACAGTGAAATCCTTTTGCCTTCAGTGGGCTCCATCCTGGATAAACTGCACCTGGTTTATAAATGATATGTGTGATATGGGACCAGCTGTCACCAGAGATCATTAGTGGAATTTAATGCTTTTTCCACTCCAGAAGACCAATTGAAATTCAACTGATGCCACATCAGGCACTGTTAATGACACATTCCAGTTGTTGTTAGAACGGGCATCAGATGGATACTGACCTGATGTGCACACACCCATTTCACTGGTCTTACTGAAGGACTGCTCACTTACTGAAAGGCCACTGCAAAACCTAATGGCTAAGGGCTCCATAGCGTTCAGTGGCTTTAACTGAAAAGATTCAGCTCTGCCATCATACTTACCCAAGTAGGTTAGCTTCCTCAGTGTGCTGTCGAGATACCAGTCACAGCTCCTGTGATGACCATAGGAAGGCAGAGATTGGAGCGGCTGTCCAGTCCTTTTCCCACAGGACACCACAACCTCAGGCTGGGCAGGAAGATCCTTGTGTTCCACCAGCAAGTAATTTCCAGTTGTGAAGTTGCTAAATGTGACTGAATACTAGAGGAAGAGCCAAAATAAACATGTCTGTCTCTGTGATTAGAGTTCTACAGATTGTAGTATAAGAGAAATAAAGGGGATGGTGTTCCACATGGGCAAAAGACTTTTCTGAGCAATACGTATTGAGATCTCTGGAACTGAGTAGGTAAAATTAAGTAGGTGGTGATGATGAATGCAGATAAAATCATCTCCCTTTGTCACCTTGCAAGATACAGAAGAATAATACCTTCAGAAAACTACGCTTTGTGATGTCTTAAGATAATATGAATTCTGTTAATTTCTTCACACCACACTTTAATCCACTACATTCAAAACCTTATTCCTACTCCAGGTTACTTCTGAGGGCTTCAGAGTTAGGTCACCGTATTTGAGCTCTGCTTACAAATATAAAGAGATTTTCTCTCTGCCCACCCAGAAAGAAGAATGCACAATTATATCATCTAAATATAATGTACAAATTACAAAAAATATTGTGTTACCTGGAGCTGCTTGCTGACCGAAGGGCTGTCAAATGTCAGTGTGTAGGTCTCTTTATCCAGGAGCAGACACATCCAGCCATGCAGGTCTGAGAGAGTGTCAGGGACATAATTGACTGTGGTTGTCTTATTCCTACTGTCAATCACAGTTAAATTGTAGGGAGTCTCTGGAGCCTCTCTTCTGAAGGAAAAATAGAATATAATCCCTTTTTGTTACTCATCTTTGTCATTTTGCAACCTTTACATTTTAATTCACAACAATAAACCTTTACAGTTTAATTTTTATTTGAATACTGTAGTAAGTATACGCTTTCTCTCAGCATCCAGATGAGAACTTAACACTGTTTCTGTTTTTCACTAGTACTCTCCATGCTTGAATAACTCAGAGGAAAAAACTCAACACTATCAATGATAGTAGTATCCATCAGCAGTATTAATAATATCATGAATTGAGGCTGAAATGAGCATAACAACCAGTCTTGAGTATGGCAAAAATTTTACAATGCTTTCTCTTCAGGGGCAAATTCCACCATTTTCCTGCACATGGACTTTTTTTTCAAATTATGCTAAACTGACCTTGATTTTTGAGATTCTTACTAGGAAGACTGCTAATTTCCCCAAGATGCCAGGTTGTGTATCACAATGTCTAAAAATACAGAACACTCAGCTTTCAGAAAGTGGCTTGTTGAAACCAACAAACTACACAAAGGAAAGGATAAGGCTGGATATCAGGGAATATTGCTCCTTAGAAGAGCGGTGATGCAGTGGCAGAGCTGCCAGGGAGGTCATGGGGTCACCTTGGAAATGTTTCAGAACCGTAGGGATGTGGCACTGAGAGATGTGGTCAGTGAGCATGGTGGGGTGGGCTAGGATTGGGCTTGGGGATCTTGAAGGTCTTTTCTAACCTGAATGATTCTGTGATAAAGATGAAAGGCAGTTAACCCTTTTGATATTCAGACATTGAATATCCACATTTGATTCATTATTTGATTAGAAACTGCTTCAATACAAAGACCTATATTCTAGTCCTCAACATCTTGCATTTCTGCAACAGCTCTCGAAACTGAGGGAAACTATGGCTGAAATTATGCTCTGGTTGGCTACACTGTGCTACTGCTTTAGCTCTGGAATTAAGACTGAGAATGTCTTTGTGTTTTCATACCATAGAAGACACCACAGAGGGCCCTGCTGACACATAAAGCAACCTGGACAGTCTTATTCTGTAAGAGAATCATGCCACTTCCATTAAATGTCAACAGAAAAGTGATGATTAATCTTCAAGATTGAAGGTGCTAAAATGTTGTTTCAGTCAAAATAGTACACAACACCCAGGTGCGTGTGATGTATGAAAGATGTAGGAAGAGTGACATATCAGCAGCTGGAATTTTAGCTCTTAATTTTAGGCACTGAACTAAGGTCGTACCTGCCTCTTCTACATTTTGTGCAAAGGGAATTGCTAGAGATAAATGTCCCAGGACTTCAGATCTCATTCTCAGCTGTGGAGAAGACTCGCTGGCTTGCCAAGATACCTTGGGGCCATGAGTCTGCCATGAACGCAGCAGATTTATGAATGAATCAAATGCTGCTGCAGAATCGAGGCAAGTTGGCCATTTCACCTTTAGTCCACTTCGTTTTGGCATTTGAGCTGACACCGAGCTAAAAATAAAAAATCCTTTTAGCATATCTGAAGGAGTATTTCTCATTCTCAGAGTACTATACCAAAACAAGGCATCTCAGAACGTTACTCAGTGCTCCAGACTGGATGCAGGCCTCTTTCTCAAGACAGACAACACTGAAGCAGATGTCATCTCTTATTGTGATTTACTGTATCTGTAATTTTGGGAGCTCTTTTGTTCCTCCTCTCTAAGGGGACAATAATTACAGTAGCAGGCACCTTGAAGGTGGGTTGCCTGCAGATTGTTTTGTTTTTTCCTCTTTTAAAATCATTTCCAATTTTGCTTTGCTGTTCTGGTGCCTGTCACGTTGGCAAAGGGCTTTCTGATTACCCTGAAACATTCAGCTGAGAAACAGCAGTGGTAAACAGGGGAAGTGTGAATCAGCGAAGAATCACTCAACCAGAAGATATTGGCAGACCAATGAAACTGACTGGAAGGAGTTTATAAGGCTTAAACTGCTTTCGTACTACTAATAAACCTCCTCTTATAGGCATTAGCTAGACCAGGATATTAGGCTGCTAATTAAGCAAGTAAATGACAACAAGCACATTACTGCCGCAGCTATCAGCACCCGCACAGGTATTCAGGAGTACATTTTTAGCAGCAGTAGCACGCCAAACATGGTGTGGTGCAACATTAAACTATGTTGTACATCAGCACTGTCTTATCGAGTTACCAAGGTACACAGTGCCACAGCAAGAGACAGAGTCTGACACGTCCCCTGTGCCATGTAAATCCTTGCCATTTTGCTCTTTATTTTTCATTGATGGGGGTCTGGAACTTGATGATCCTTGGGGTCCCTTCCAACCCAAGCCATGCTATGATTGCTGGAGAAGCCTGATCAGACTGCTTTTCCCAAGAAAACACTTTTCATGCATATAGCAAGGTAGTCTGGGTTCCCTGACTTTCATTGGGAAGTTTGTTCATGACCTGGAAGGAAAGGGAGCAGGAGAGAAAGGCTGCATGGCATCTCATGGCCAGAAACATCTGGGATTGTCTTGACATGGCACACCACGTTCTTGCTTTTCATGTTCCACTCCTGACATAGAGTCAACACACACACCAAAAAAATTGGAAGGAACATGAAAAATGCAGTTCTGCACAGAACATTCGTACAAGGAAATAATGAGCTTGACACTACACTCCCCTTGAAAGGATTGTGCTTGTTTGCTCACCTATCTGCCAAACAGACACCAAAATGGAAGTACTTTACTAATGGAATTACCAGCCACAATTAGCACCATTTCCATTTGCCCTAAATAGCCAGCGATTTCACTGTGCCCTAAATAGCCACCAATCTACCTCTCCTTAATGTTAATGGAGCAGAGTAGTGCTCGCACACACAAGTATTTCTAATTCAGAGGATCTGAGGGAGCCTGCACGCATCATTAACATGGAGAGCTTCATTATCAGAGGAAAGAGCCTTCCCCCGAACTTCCTCTGGCTTTATTTGAAAGAAACTAGGAGGCAATGGTCTTAATGCAAAATTAACCCTCACTTTAAACCGCTGGAAGCCTTCACAAACTGTAAGAGGCAAAAAAAAAAAAAAAAAAAAAAAGGATGACTCATTGAAAAGGCTGTATTTTTATATAGAAGCAGGTTTCAATTAAGGAGCAATTTTCTCTAGAAATATGGCAGGATTGCTAGATAAGACTTTACAGTCTGAGTAACAGTTTACCAATGGTAATCACATAAACTGTTACGTAATGCAGCTCAAGTGCATTGTGCACAACTGCTCGGCATAGATGGCCCTCCAAGGATTTGTGAAACCAATCCACAACATCAAGGAGAACAAATATTAACTCTCCTGTTTATGCTTACCATTAGCTTCCTTATCCTCAGGGTCCATATCTGTGCGTACGAAGGCAGACGCTGTGCTCAGCTCTAACTGCTTTCTGTTTGATAGATCTGTGTAATAATCCCTTATGATTATCCCTTTCCTAAAACAGGAAACAATACAGCATCTCACTTCAAACAGGACGCCAAATGTTTACAGCAACAGTCCCATTTATTGTTGGCCAAATGGAGGCTAATCCCAAATTATGGCCACAGCAAACCCTTTACATGTATGATGCTAGGCCCAAGAACTTTATTTTACTTGAATCTGAACTTTCATGTGCTTTCAATAAATGTACGTATCTTTGTTGAGACATACCTTGTTTCAAGCCTGACTTGTATTGTGAATCCTCATCATCAGTGGGCTTTTGTAGGCAGAGATCTTCAGGAAACTAACAAGATTGCTGTCCCCAGTCCTGAGTGGCTATTATGGGATAGGCCTTTAGACTTTGCAGTGCAGAAGAACTGAGATGATGTCAGCAATTGGAAGGGTTGTGAACGACAAGCTAAGAGGGCACCTTTTAAGGTAGCTTTCAAGCTACCTGCTTCTGTCTTCCTAACTTATTCCTGTTCTAGGATCAGTTCTCCAGCTTCTACAATTTACAGGCTGGTATTTTAAGGAGGACTAAAATTAGGAATGCATTCTGAGCCGGAATATGGCCAGTAAGCAAGCAGCTCAAACAACTCTGCAGTGTAAGCACAGCAAAGACCTGCAGATGGCAGCTTAGTCACTCCACTTATCCCACATCAGGTGGAGTTCTGAAGCACCCAACAAGAATCTTAACATTTGGATGCATGTACTCGGAGCATGTTTTTACAGCACTCTCATTGCCCACTCAATCCTGTAAAAATTAATGCAATTTTTGGACTAATAATTCTTTGGTTATGATAGCATGCCCAGCTGGTAGACGTGGCCTCAATCTATTCAGCCCATAAGAAGCATCCAAATAGCTTTCCATTGAAGGCAAAGAAAGCACAGGACTATCAAACTCTGCTTCGATGCTAAATACCTCCCTCTGCACCTAGGAACACTGGAGCCAATAGCCAAGCTGAGGGCTAGGCTCAAGGACACATCTTGCATACTCATAAGCCTGCACAGGATACAGCTTTATTGCAAATACTCCAAGGTGTAAGACAAATGTCAAGAGGTCCTGCACTGGGAAGCAAATCTCTCTTTGGTGAGCCGGCAGAGATGAAGCTCTGAAGCTCAGCTGATGCTCTTGTGGACTGAACACTCAAAAGCCAACCCTTCAATATTTGCTTCTATGTTATGCCACTGAGAAAGGCTATCCCATGAGGCCAAGTGAGCACGCATGCTGCCCCATGTGTGAATCCCATCATGTACGCAGGGAGGTTATACTACCAGAGAGCAACTGAGCACGTACACATTGAGTAAAAAACAACAGTGACAGTCAGGGTGTTTCACAGCAGGCGGGTGTTCATCTGGAGGCACCACAGTAAGTAAATATCAAAGGAAAAGCAAAACGAGAGTAACTGTTTGAACTCTCTTCAAGACTCAAAGACCCACACGTAGGGGGTATGCTATTCTTTTCACTCTAACCCATCAGCAACGGCTGGGTGTGCAGCAACTGAATGCATGCACTACAGGAGAGGATATTAGACCAGATTTAAGAATTAAGGCTATAAAGAAGAAGTTAATCTTTTCCTCTGCAGCAGACGAAGAAGAGGGAAACAATAAAAGGCTCAAACGACATGACTGGTGCTGAGCAAGACCCAGCTTTCTGCAGGGAGAAGGGAAAAGCCAATGAAAGGGAACAAGAGGCAAACTTCCTCCTGGTACACGAGGTTGCAGTGTTTGGAATCCCCTTGGCCACGAGGTGCTGTCTGGCTGCCGATTATTCTAATGCACTCCTCTTGTAAAAATTATGCATAATGTGAAGAAACTTTAAAAGTCACTTAATCACGTTATGACAATTTTTTAATGAAAATTTGTTTTAATATTAATAGAGACTCATATTTTCTCTATAATATGGGTAGTGGTGGCATTTGGAGCAGCCGTATCTAGCCTGCAGCCATGCTGCACTGTGCCATGGCATAAGCTGTTCTTCAGATTACTCAATAACTTTCCCACATATAAATTTATAAAGACTTTTATAAGCTTCAATTACATTTTTAAAAGACATAAAAACCCTCTTTAAAGAGTGTTTAAGTGACACATTAGTTTAACTTTCAACTGGACTTCGTGGAGAAGGCATTGTTACAGCAATGCAGATTTGGAAATGGATCCCTGTTGCTCTGGAAGTTGTTGAGTGCAGTAATTCAAGACGGGGAGTCAGCAACTGCTTAACATTCTTGTTTTCTATAACAACAAAAATGGGTTCCCAAGGTTTTCCTCAAAAAATAAAACGAAATTAAAAACTCAGACATTTTCCAGACACATCTTGTGGAAAAGATGGTGCCAACATGGTATTGTACCCTGGTAAATTAAACAGAATAGACAGATAGACAGTGGGGTGCCTACATTCAATTGACCACATTGTAACTGGACGTGCTTTGGGCTTGTGTCAACCCATCCTCCCCCAGACAAATCCCAAATAGGAACTTTGCTAAAAGGCAGCACTGATACAACTTCCCTGATCTTCTGAAGGCTAAGAAGGTGCATAATGCAGCTGTGGCCAAGCCTTGCTGGTTGTCCTCAAAGTCAGGAAATGAGCTTGAGGCTGCTGAGATAATGGTAACAACGCTGTGCCAAGCCGTCTCCCTCCTGTGTGAATAAACCACAGAATGGTTGAACTTGGGATGAATCCCCAGGGGTCATCTGGTCCAAACTCCTTCCCAAACAGGACCATCAGATGCTGTTTGGTTCTCTGACCAACCACCTTGCCATACCAGGACTTCTCTTGCAAAATCCTCCCTCAGGCTTTAAGATTTTTGGATCCGAAGTCCAGTCCTCAGGGGGAAGCAAATAAACACGCCAAGCCCCTCAGACTTTTTATTCAGGAGCACAAAGACCTGCACCAAGAGAGGGCTACCAAGCAATTATTTAATTGCTATTGCCTGAAATAATCTCCTTGTTCAGAGTAAGTTCATATCAAAGTGAGGATGCTGTTATGTTGACACTTCAGTCTGATGGTAAACAAATGTGTTTCCCAATCTTAAAGCCTGGACTTAGAGGCTCACATCTCATTTTTTCATCCACGGTTTTCACAGTCCCCATCTTCCCAGCTGTAGGGACTTTGCACAAATGGTGAGGAAGAACTAGGAGCCTAACGAAGCACAACCAAGAACTAGCAGGCTGCAGAGTTGACAGGTTTATGTACTCTTGGGCTGGTAGAGCACCGTGGAAAGATTACTTCCAGAGCTACATTTAATTCTTTGCTCATCAGAAACTAAAGAAATCCAAGCAACAGTACTTTCATCCTTTTACTGAGAGGAGTCCAAGAGACTGCATTGCTAGGAAAACCTTCCTGTCACCCAGCCTATCTTTCTTCTTCTGTCTGCTCAACTGCTGCCAATTGCTCCCAGTCATGTTTTGTTATACTAATCCCAAACAATTCCCTTTTTATTGCAAACACTCTTCAAATACATCTGGACAAAATTCTCCCTTTCCCTTTCCCTTTCCCTTTCCCTTTCCCTTTCCCTTTCCCTTTCCCTTTCCCTTTCCCTTTCCCCTCCTCTCCTCTCCTCTCCTCTCCTCTCCTCTCCTCTCCTCTCCTCTCCTCTCCTCTCCTCTCCTCTCCTCTCCTCTCCTCTCCTCTCCTCTCCTCTCCTCTCCTCTCCTCTCCTCTCCTCTCCTCTCCTCTCCTCTCCTCTCCTCTCCTCTCCTCTCCTCTCCTCTCCTCTCCTCTCCTCTCCTCTCCTTTCACAGCCATGTCATAGTTCACTAACTGACCTGCATCCTTCAGACTTTCCAGCTCCTTTCACTTTCCACCTTGCTTCTCCACCAACTCCTTTTTGGAGCAAGGCATCCCTTACTCACTGCTCAGAACAGCTGCTGTTTCTGTTCATACAGTCACCTAAATATGACAGTGACTTGGCTGGTAGGAGCTGCTCAGGAAAGAGGATCTGGAAGCAGCACAGACAGGATGCTCTGTCTTCCAGGCTTAACGCTGATCTCTGCTACCCAGACTGCTGATTATCTTTGACTTAGGTTGACTCTCAGCTCATACATATCAATAATTATAAAAGGAAAGAAAGGTTGGCTGTGAAGTGCCTGATTCCCTTGATATGATTTACCCAAAACTATGAAGAAATTTATAGGGAAATAAAGTGTAGATCAGGACTCAAACCCATATTTACATTTGCTCCTTAACTACCTTTTGATGCAGGAAGGAATTCCCTGCACTAGGACACATTAGTGCCCACATGGTGACCACATGTACTTCAGGATGATATCTAAGTGTGTATGGCTTTGACTCAATTTGAATTCGCTCATATGAGTTTTTGGTTCACCTGCCAAATCATTCTAGTAATTTTTGAGTGCTGAATGAGCTCTGGGAGCTACATGACTGTTTTACTGCAGTTGCTCTCATCTGTAAAGTGATTCATTCATTTATGCTTTGGGTTCCAAGACAAAAAAAATGTTATTTTTATTTCAGGATATAAACAGAGGTGTTATCACAGTCAAGTGTAAACCAGTATCTCATCTAATTCAGAAGAGCAATTATCTAGTTGCCAATAAAGCTCTGTCTCTCACAATCACAAAAGCTGACTCTTGAATTTCCTATCTCCCTTCTACCACTTTCTGATGCCATAATATTGATGGTAATCTATAATCATATCAAAAAATATGCTTATGTTGTGATCTGGGTCAGTCTTAATAAGGTTTGCTGATGTGAACTGTCTACATTTACCTCACAGAAAACAAATAAAAGCAAAATGAAAGACCACAAAGATCTTTTGAGGTAGGTAAGAAAGACATGGCCAGAACAGAATGACAGAAAGTATTCTTTTAACTAAATATATCATGAAGTTATTCTACATTCCGTACCATATGGCTGCTTATTGTATGAGAGATGGGACTGGGAAATAATAAAACGCTGAATCTAGTTTTAGTAGAAAATATAATACACAAACCCAGCATTTCATGAAACTAACACAGAAATGAAATACGATGCCAGAAATATTCTGCTGAAGACGTGGAAAAACAATCTATTCATGACCACCCATTCTTTGGGAATTTGGGGGGAACTCTCTCACAGTGAGCATAAGAGGAAACATCCAGACCATGACTTAGACTCTAATTAAATTAAAATCATTTTTATTATTTTAAGACTGCATCTGCTCATCGGGGCGGTGTTCTCATAATCTGTGGCTATTTTATATTTCAGCGGTCAGAAGATCTTGGCAATGTTTCCAGCTCACCCACTAAATTTCTGATTGTGGCTGAGGCTCAGCCATCAGTTTCACCCTGACCACATTGAGCCACATTCCCAGTTCTACAAATGCCCGTTTATATCCCTCTGGTAAGCTGAAGAGAGACGAAATAGCAATACACCACAACCTCCACTTAAAGGTCAGTGTAATGCTGTACAAAGAACAATGTGATGTCCTGTCTCCAGGATGAGATTATAGGTGGAAAACCAAGGTAACATGGGGTGAGCAGCTTGCTGAGAACCTCAGAAAAACAAATTAAATATGAGCAGGCCATTTCTAAATTAGTAAATCAATTAAACAAAAGAGAGCTCTCTGGCCTGGAGGCCAAGGGATGTTTATACTCTCTGTAGTTGTCCATACAGGCGAGTTCTCCTCCTCAAAGCCATGATGACTACACCCAAATTGCCCATTGGAAATGGTCCCTATCCTCTCTCTCAAGCCATGCCATGGGAACTGCCTGGGCAAAAACAAGTAGCCTCAGCAAAGAGATCGTGCAGACAGCAGCAGAGTCTATCTTAAGTCAATACAGAATCATAGAATTGCTCAGGTTAGAAAAGACCTTAAAGATCATCAAGTCCAACCACGACCTAACCATAGTGCCCTAAGTAACAACCTACCACTAAATCATGTCCCCGAGCACCACATCCAAATGGTTTTTAATCAAATACAGGGATGGTGACTCAACCACCTCCCTGGGGGACCTATTGCAGTGCTTAACAATCCTTTCTGTAAAGAAGTGTTTCCTTACATCCAACCTAAACCTCCCCTGGCACAACTTGAGGCCATTTCCCCTCGTCCTGTCACCAGGGAGAAGAGACCAACCTCACGCTCGCTGCAATCACCTTATATATATGTAAAGCAATACAGAACATAACAAGTGACATCCATGCCAAATTTTGAAAAGTAGCTTTCTTACTTACAAGTAAAGAGACATACGGTGGAAAACAAGGTCCTTGCTGCATACACTGCCACCCAGAGCTTGGCTGAAATTGGCACTGGTTGTGCAGGAAGCCGCAGGGATGTCTGTATAAGGGAGAATACGACTTCCTTCCTTCCCAGTGACAGAGCCATCAAGATCCTCAAGAATGGCAGCATGTGGAAAGGGGAAGGACACTTGGAAGGGTGAGTTGGTGAACGTCAGATGTTCAAGGCTCACTGTAAACCCACCTGCGAGGAGCAAACAACAGTTTAGAAACACAGAAGAAAAAGAGATTAGCTTTGCTTTATCATCACTTTGGAAGTGTGACTACTGATTCAAAAAGAGAAAAATGATAAATAAATAAGAGGAACAAAAAAGCTGCTTGCCATGTTCTGGCCAGGATCCTGTTGTCTGATCCAGGTGCTGCTCTACCAGCATCTCCTGAGTGACTCCAAACATCTCTTCTTAAGTCTCAGTGCCAAAAGCTAGTGTCCCCAAAACAGTGATTCTTACACATCCTTTTCGCTCTCTTTATAAGACAAGTTATTCAGAGATAAGGGCTGCGTATGTATGCATGTAAATAACACGTTCATATATAGCACCAGGCACAGTAAAGCCTTGGCTGAAAAGTGTGGCTGGAGTATGTTTACTCTACTGTTGATAGATTCAGCAAGGAGGAATATTCATGTGAGCTAAAGCACAGAAAGGTTTTGAACACATGAATATTTCCAGAAATGACAGAAAATTACTGTCCTATCAACCAGAACAGGTCAGTTTTGGCAGGAGTGTCCATGTGCCTCATTTGGTTACTATTTACCTAGCATACTGTCAGTTGTAGCTTCTCTGAGTCAGATTTTACTATTCCTCCTGTCCTTTGATCTCGGCTCCTGAAGTCTTTTTCTCTCTTATGTTATTGTAGGGCAGTATACGTTTATATATAAATATATTTAAGAGGTAATTGCAGTTGGAACGCTCTTCAAAGAGCCTTTGGGTACTTCTTCAAAGCTCAAAAGGATGCTTAGTTTACATACTTATCTTAGGCAAATTCACCTAAGGTTTAGGCTGGCCTGAGGTAGTAGCTTGGTAAAATTCTGCAAGGATGTGTCATAGCTATTAAAAAATCCTCACTTTTGAAATGTTACCTCCCAAAATGAAGAAGCAACAAGTCAGAGTGTAAAAACCCATTTCTCCGTCCCATTGAGGAAATGAAATCAGTTCAAAAATAAGGCTACCTTTGTCTCAAAAAACCACGTGATACGTGGTTCCAACTAAATGATGAAGCTATTCCACCAGCAGATAATTTGGATAACTAGCAACCTGACCCTAAGTGCACATAAAGCAGAGCAGTCCAGCAAAGTCAGCAAAATGCGGAGGGTTAAATATTATTGATGGATGGTTGCTATGCATATCATCACATGATAAAGTTTCTCAGTTCATCTGTGCTGCACAACATGCACATTATTCATCCTGCAGCTACGTATCACCATCCTATGGCCCACCTCCCTGTGAATGGGCAAGAGCTGTTAGGCTGGTATCCTCACTGAGGAAGTGAATCTTAGAGAGCAATGATTCTGAAAACTACTGCATTGAAACATAGGGGAAACACACATACAAACCAAAACCTAGTCCTGGATAAGTTACCTACAGGTAAACATGGTGATAAGATGACTGAAACCAAACAGGTATTCTTCGTCACTGCACAATACTCGTTCCAGATTCAGCTGAAACGTCTATCAGTGGTTATGGAAGCTAAGAATTCCTAAATAGATTACTCTGAAATGCAACAACTGTGCGAACACTGCTAAATGAGTGTAAGTTATACTCACCCTGCCCTTGGTAACAGCCCGAGCAGGTCCTGATAGCTGTGCAACTGCTCATATCAAAGTTTCTGAAAGCTGTGTTGGAGACGAATAGCTGGAATCTTTTGGGAGTTTTCAGTCCTGCTGACATGCAGGTGTTATCCTGCCATGAAGAAATGAAGAACACTGGGAAACAAGTCAACATGTGGATGCCCAAGCCTGATGAGTTCAGCATGCAGCAGCTGCGATACAAGATGACTGCACTCAGGCCTCTGGTTCTGGGGTACCGTGTGCTATTTGAAGGACATGCATTAGCTATTGTGTCACAACTTCTAATAATTCAATAAATTACATCAGTCTAATTCACCATGTGCAGTATGCAGTAGTGTTTCTTTCAGGGCAGCAATGACTTTGTTTGCTCTGTCAGGCTATTGGCTACTAGGAAAAATTGGACTTTTCAAGGGAGAATACACTGTACTGCCTCCTTGGCTTTACCTTGGTTTGTCCATCAGGCAGGAGATTTCCATACTTTATAAAGCCAATTATCCTAATTGATGTTACAAGAAAAATCTGACTGCTGAGACACAGAATATTTCCTGTGATTGAGGGTGGGGAGAGTTTAAGCTGGACACTCTTCAAAGCTCTGGTTGAATTCAGGGTGTATCAGAACAATAAGAAATTAAGTAGATCAGCAAGAGACAGGAAAAAGCATAACACGTGAAAAGGAAGAGCAAAACCACAAGTGATGAGGAACATAAAACAGAAACTAGATTTCATGGTGGCTGTGGTCCATGACAGAGGGGGTGAGTGCATTCTCTGTCCATTTATTCTGGAGACAGGCTGGGAAGAAAGAAGTATTTAAAGCCAGGGGGTATTCTGGAGGAGAAAGCTGTCAGGAGCATGTGATGCCATTTCTGAGGCCAGTAAACAGTTTAGGAAAACAACTCACAGAAGTTACGACAGAGAATCAAGGGAGCAATCAGTCCAGTGTGAAAGCATCCTGTAGAATGCAAAATTTAGACTTTTAGAAACAGTTTGTCACTTCAAAGGGGTGTTGTTATCTTTAGTCTAATTAAGAGACAGCATCTTCATCACTTCTCTTAGAGCAAAACACCCGGTGTAGTGGTCCTGGTCTTTGTGACACCTCCTTCTACATCACTGCTAAACAGAAATCACCTTGCTGCTGGTAACAAATCAGATTTGTAGGTTTTTAGCTTGTACTTGCCTGTTCTTCCACCATTTCTATGGTTTTTCATGATCAGTATATAGAATAAGGGTATGAGATGGGAATTCCTCCCCTAGTGTGCATCACATCTCAAACCTACCATGTTTTCAAAAGGAGATGTTGTTCCTCAAAGAGCCCCACACCAGCACTGAGTTTCTTTATGAAAGCATGGAAGAGGCTATTTGAAGTCTTTCCCTTTTTCCCTTTCTACAGACCCTGGACCTGGCCCTGCTCATAATGTGTTAAATGATCAAAGCCCCAGTACTGAAATGCCCTGGTATTTCCAGAGCCCACTGGTTTAAAGCACCGCATTCAAAAACTGTTGGGGGAGCAGAGAGAAATATTCACTGTTCCCATTAAATTAGTGTCATAAAGTTTTAATTGATATTAAAGAGACATCATTATTAAAGGGAGAATTACATAAATTAAGATGTAAATTATGACAAGGAGGCTCTTATCATGAGATAATCAAAGATAATCACCCCCCTGGGGTGTGGGAAGAAACAAGGCACAGCTGAGCGCCTCTAAATCTCTTAACAAGTACAGCATCAGAGTTCTACCGTGGATCCTGCAAAGCAAAAACAAAGACACCACTCTTTCATCCCTAAGAGAAATCCATTGTGTCATTGAGCCACTGTAGGACTGGACAAGAGAGACCAGGATTGTGTCCGAACCATGTGCTTCAACAGAGTTACAGCAGAAATATCTTCTGCAAGGTTCTGAAGAAAACTCATTTAGAACTCTTTTCTGCTCGGTCGGAAAGAAAATTAAATTCATAAAAAGCAGCAGCAACCTAAGCAGTGCAGAAAAGACCTCAGAATCACAAACAAGCTGCCATGGCCAGCTGTAGCTAAAATTTCATCATCATCTGTGTTATTAATCTGTTAACAAGCTGGTAGCACCCAAAGGACTTTGTCTGGCTGCCTGCAGAAATAATAGAAGATTGTATTTATTGCATTAAAAATTGTTATATTCTGGTGGCATTGACCATTCTCAAGTAAATAAGCAGCACTGTGTGTTCTCAGTGAACCAGGGATGGTGTGAGGGAGAAGAGGAAATCAGAATGTTGTCTAGAATAGAAATCAAACCTACCATTCTCCTATGAAGAAAGGCTGAGGGAAGTGGGCTTGTTCAGCTTGGACAAGAGAAGGCTCCAGGGGGACCTCATTGTGGCCTTGCAGTGCTTGAAGGGAGCGTAGAAACAAGAGGGGGAACGGCTGTTTGTGAGGGTGGATGGTGATGGGACAAGGGGGAATGGTTTTAAAGTGAGACAGGGGAGGTTTAGGTTGGATATGAGGAGGAAGTTTTTCCCCCAGAGGGTGGTGAGGCACTGGCACAGGTTGCCCAAGGAGGCTGTGGATGCCCCATCCCTGCAGGCATCCAAGGCCAGGCTGGATGTGGCTCTGGGCAGCCTGGGCTGCTGGTTGGTGCCCTGCACACAGCAGGGGTTGGAACTGGATGAGCACTGTGGGCCTTTGCAACCCAGGCCATTGTGTGATTCTATGATTCTCCATTTTCAAATCACTAAGCTGAGCTGCACATCTCTCAAACTCATCCTGAAGCTGCATCTATGCCTTCACTTCTCCTTACAGACAATTTGAAAGCCAAACTTTACATAAACAGGGGCTGTTCTTCTGATTGCTCTTTTATTTTTCCATTTTACAGTTTGTGCAACTGCAGTGCTTACCTTTTGCCCAATGTGTCCAACTAAAACACTATTAGCTACAGCTGTGTTTCCCAGGCTTTCAATGATGTCAATGCCAAAATCCGTGCAAGCATAGATTCGGAAATTTTGGAGTTTGAGGTTGCTGCTACTGAAAATCTGTATAAAAACATAACAAAGGAATAGAGTGGATAATTTAAAAAATGTGGTTTACAACCACACTTTTCTAAAAGTACAGTGAAAAACAGGAGAGTGCAAAATGATAAAAGTGTTGATTTTGTGTTTATTTAAGAAATTTCCCTTATTTTCTTGTTTTAGCTTTCAATTAATAATGCAAATACTTTTGAACTAGGCCAATTTGTTTTCCATTAAAGAACAACATGAAATAAAACCAGAAAATTCAGAGAACTGTTAACAAACAGGTTAAAATGTGCTTTATATCATATTTTAATTAATGGAAAGAATAATAGGGTAAAGAGTCAAGGTTTATAGCAAAAAGATGCCTTGAAAACAACCACAGGTGTAGCTTACAGTCAGCTAACAGCTAGAAGAATGTTCCTAGAGGAGCAATTCCCATGGAAACCATTAACTCTACAGAAGTAACAGAACTTCCACCAACCATAATCTTTACAAACAGAGATTTAAACTGGATATAAGGAGCAAGTTGTTTACAATAAGGGTAGTACAGCACCGGCACAGGTTGCCCAGAGAGAGGTGGGTGCCCCATCCCTGCAGACAGCCAAGGTCAGGCTGGATGGGCTGTGAGCACTGATGGAGCTGTGGGTGTCCCTGCTCAGTGCAGGCAGTGGGACAGATGGCTTTGATGGGTTCCTCCCAACTGTAAGGATTCTGTGATTCTGTAACTACCTCACATCCACTGGGAGAACCTTTTTGGTTGTCCTGTAGTGGCAAATGTAGATTAGAAAGTTAGTTAGGCCAACAGGGCTGTCATTAAAAGTAATGCTGAGTTTGCACTGAACTATAAGGAGAACTCACACAGACCATTACCAAAACAGGGGCCTCCAGCTGAGGGACAAGGACATAAAGGTACGAGAGGTTCCATAGCAGCTGTGGCCTATCTGCAGCCTGAAAAGGCAAAATCACTACAGAGATGATAAAGAGATGAAGTAGCATTTCCTGAGCACCATGGAGGACAGCTGGGACAAACATACCTGGGCTCCACCTTGGCTGCTCCAAACTGTGAAGCTGTCAAACTGAATGGGGCCGTTTGGGCTGTCTGGCAAATATTCTGGGTAGACAAGCAACCCATGCCTGTTTAGGAAAGAAAGCAAAGGAAAAAACAAAAAAAGAAAACAAAGTTTCCTTGCATGCATTATTGGACATAAAACATCATCTTTAGGCCTGTACTTAGTCTGCATTTAAACCTACTTAATCAGAGCTAAACTCTAAAAGCTGAGTATTCATGCTGCTATTGCACAAAGCATCTGGAGGTAAGAAATGCCACTCCAAGCCATGGAAGCCAGCATCATATCTCTTCTGTTGGCCTGCAGCGCATGTCAAAGAGTGTAAGAATGAAACTGTGTATCTGTCCTCTTGTACGCCATCCTCCTCTGCTTAAACTATCTGGAATGTTTCAAAATTAGCTTTAATTTCAACATGAGTACAAGCTTCTGTGCTCTGCTGTTAAATGTTTGATGAAGAAATGTGCTAAACGTGGCACTATAAACTAAGTCAGTATCATTAAAACAAGGGAGTAGGATGGAGGTGCTTGCTGCCAGCACAGGAAAGCACAGCAAGTTAAAAAATGGAGATGGTGAATGAAGAAGAATGGAATATATTGAAACTACTAGGAAACCACTTGCAGTCAGACCCTGAAAAATAGCCTAACTACACACCAGTCTGTCATGGGCTCTGCTCCGCTACTGAGCCAGCAACAAGAAAGCAAGCCCTTACAAGGGTGCAAAATTGAGAAACAATTACCAGCAATAACAAAATCCTGAAGGAAGGGACAAAGCCATTTCTGCTCACTGCTGCAGTTATAGTTAGCACTACCGTGCACAGAAGGAAAGTCTCTTTAACCAAAGGTCCCCTAATACCTGGTGCAGGAGTGGGCTGTGTTCTCACTGAAGGACAGGAGAGGCATTTTGGATGGTCCCTCAGGAGAGAGATGAAAGAAATACCCATATCCAGCAGCACACACGGTGTTACCCTGCAGAGAAACACACACAGTTGTGAAAAAAATTACCACAAACCTCTGCTAAATAAAATAAAAGAAAAATAAATGAATAAATAAAATCCAATCCCAGATGATGTTAATGATAATTCTGGCACGTCTGGTTGGCAGAAGCTGGTACCTTGTTGTGTATTCATGCTCTCATTCCATTCTTGCTCTTTCCTTGGGTCAGTCCCACAAAAACCTGCTCTCCAATCAGGCAACAAGGGTTGGGCAAACAACTGGAACTCATGACAGCAAAATGGTACTGCCACAATTCTTCAAGAAGTAGGTAAGAAAACAAACAAACAAACAAAAAACAGTGTGGAAGACTTCTTAAAATCCTTTTTAAGTAAGAAGGCCACGTCACGGGAGAAAGGTGAATAACTACTTAATTTTATTGGTTTACTTCAAAGTCTGCATCTTTCTTATGCCTCCTAAAGTAATTCTGACACTGAAAAACTGACATTCTGAAAAGACAAGATAAACCAAAGAACTACATCTTCATGATATGCCAGTGTCTGAACAGTAAAACTCATTCAGATCTGTGACTTCATTTAGCTCTGTTCCCTTCCTTTGTCCCTAAGCACAGCTTCCCAGGAGATCTCTTCCATTAATCCCATAAACCACAGTTTGCTCTCCTGAACTTCAAGTTCCTGACTCTGCTCTTTGCCAGGCCCATATTCCTCGAGATCATGAACTCAACAAGGGCATGGTTGCTGCAGCCCAGACTGCCTCCAATCTTAATTTCTTTAACGACCTCATCTGCACAGGTGAGCACCAGGTTCAGTAATGTTTCTCCTCCAGTTTGTTTGACTAATATCTGGATCAGGACGTTATCCTCAGCACACTCCAGCAGTCTCCTGGATTGCTTACAGCATGCCGTGTTGCTTTCCTGGCAGACATCTGGGAAGTCATATCCTTCACCAGAATGAGAGCTTGCAAGAGCAATGATTCTTGCAGCTGAAGCAAGGCCTCATCAACAGGCTCCAGATGTCCTTCATTGGTCTGGTCCTTAATTTTTACCCACAAGCTCTCCGTCTCCTAAGAGCCCAGTCTCTCGAAGATGCATCTCAGATCACAGAACTCAAAGTCCTGAGCATGGCACCAATCACACAGCTAATCGTTCATGTGACTCATTCATCTCCTTTTTGGGTCTCCAACTGGGAGGTAGAGGAAAATACCACCTGCCCTCCCAATTCCTTCGATGTCTTTCTGAGGTACATAAAGTCTCTTCTTCCAGGCAGGTTGTGGATAACCCCTCCCTGGAGGCACTCAAGCCCAGGCTAGATGGGGCTGTGATCAACCTATTCTAGAGGAAGGTGACCCTGCCTATAGCAGGGGGTTGGAACTAGATAGTCTTAAAGGTCCCTTCCAACAAAATCATTCTATGATTCTGATAATTCTCATTCCTTCATTGCAGCCTCCTTCAACTCTTCATCAAAGAGTAGGAATGGCTTTACCATGTTTGGTAACCCTGTCATGATACTGTACAAGTGAGTCCCCAGCAGGCAACAAACCTGTCTAGGTAGATTGTCTGGATGGCAGATGAGAGCTCCAGGGCTTTCAGTGAGTAATCTTCCATTACTAACACCTCCTCTGCTCCTTTTGGTGGCACAGGTTCTAATATAGGTGGTTGGCTGGATCAGTTTTGTACAGCTGTCCATTCCAGGGTCTTGACCATTACTCACACTCTCTTTTTCCAGCTGCAAATCTGGGCACCCCTGTTGTGTAGGGGCACTTTGGACTCCTATTTCTGCCCCAAGCAGAGACAAGGATACACTGTCCCTCACCTTCTCAGATGCGCTATAAATTATTGTTAATATCACTTAATGAAGAAATTATGGAGTTGCGTTCATTGCGAAACATGAAAAAAGAAGAGAACCTAAGGCCTTCCTGGCCTTATGATTAGGAGCTTCTCACTTGCAGAGTCTGTGGCAAGTCAGTTTTGCAGGGGGAGACATAGGGAGTTAGGAGTATTTCTACTCCAGGGCAGAAACCTGCTCTTGTCTGCTTCATTTTGGACAGTACCCAAACTGAGCTGTTTTTGGATGGTGCCCATACAGAAACACATTCATGTGCACATCTGGGCATGATCCTTCCCAACTGTCTCAAATGTGTTGCTCAAATTTGATGCTGAAGGTCGAGGCTGGTAAATGCATGCTTCCTTTCCAGGAACTAAGTAAGGCATAGGCATGTCTGGAGGGCAGGTCATCCTGCCTACCCTTAGATAACATTAATTGCTCTCTGGAGGTAATTAGTTCTCTAAGGGGAGTCTAAGATGAGCTTTCTCGCAACTTCTTGCAAGAAGAGCTGACACTCACTGACTTCAGAGGTCAGTGGACAGTGCTAAAATATTAATGGCTTTTTGGTCCCTGATGGCCCAAATCAAAGCCAAACCCCATGACCCAGAGGTGGAAGCCTCCATATTCCAATTACTTTTTCCTGACCCTTCCAAGGGTGCCCCCCGCAGTCGTGATTTCTGACATCTGCCAAGCAGCAAAGAGATATCAATAACCAAAGCACATCTCTCCAACCCCTGGTAAAACTGCTGCTTTTTCCGAAAGTGCAGCCAGAGTCTCTTTTCCTTTAACAAAATGCTTCTGCAGTCCAGTCACATTATTTCCAGGATCTTTTACTTGCGACCCCAATCGTGCTTTCTGCAGATGATTCATAAGGAAAAACTGCATATTTATTCAGCCAGCTAGTGGCTGGAGGGCAGGGGTTTTAGGCAAGGAGGGAATTTTGTGTGGAAATCAATTCTTTGTGGAAGTCAATATATTATGAATGTCCATGCAACCAAAATTCCAGAGAGAAATTACCTCCCCGAGCATGCCAAATACCTGGAGGTATGAATTGCAAGTCAGTAAAATAAGTGGCTGACGTTTAAAGTGTCTCTTAACTGTACAGCCCTGCAAATGGAAATATTTCATGAATTTCTTTTAGATGACCAGGGCTCAAACTGTTGACCTTAAAAGTGACATAAAAGCTCCGGAGAGCAAGCCCAGCACCAGTCCCCCCAATTTAAGAGCCTGGTTGGATGCAAGGAGTATCCCCAATGGGCTTGCTTCAACATATACACAATTTGTAGAAGGCTTCAGAAAAGTAAGAACAAAATGGTGGGAAACAATCAGTGCCAAACAGATACAGCCCCACCTCTTTGACACGGTAGGGAACGTGGGGTTGGGCAACGCTGGGCAATAAATCACACATCCCAGCATGGCCATAGGTCACCACTCTGACAGAAGCACAGGTTGATCTCAGCCCTGCTCATTCTGGTAAGCTGCTTCCGACTCTTCAATGTCATGGCAAGAAAGGAGAGGGAGGCTGCTCTCTTACACCCAGGTTTTGCTTGAGCACTGCACAGTGGTGCTGAGATTTAAGGGTACTGAATGTTTATGAACAGAAAATTATTACAAAAAGTCCAAAAACATTGGACCCAAGAAAACCAAGAGAAGATAAAAAAGCTGTTTTTTGCCATTTTTCTTCAGGGACAAAACAGCCAATGTGAAAGAGGGGCATCTTCCTTTCCTCTTGCTGATCATTTAAAAGGCAAGAAACCAGCTTGCTAATGAAATTGTTTTACGTCACTCAAAAGTGACAACCAGGGCTTCCATATTTTATTTAAAAATAAAATTGCTCATCTTGTCATAACCATTCTGCATTTATGCTGCATGAGTACGAAGTTTTATCTAACACCCTGATTCACAAATGCACTTAAGAGCTTAAGCCAAATGGAAACCTGTGGGAATTGGGTCTCCAAACATCTTTGTAGGCTCACGTTTGAGTGACTGCTGTGTCCCAATTTCAACACCATTTAGGAGACCACTGATTTTCAAGGAAATTTCTGTTCTTCAGTCACCAATGCAAATTTAGGCTCCGGAGTAAACTGAGCAGATATTAAAATATTATTCCACTCACTGCAGAAAGCTTAACCCATCACATACAGAGGCTGTAACACAGTCTGCACCTAGAGCTCTCTGTCTACTGTAGCTGTAATCTTTGCCCGTACTTTTAAAGGCAGAAATTTAAAGATGAAAATCTGAGAAAGAAGTAAAATAAAATAAAATAAAATAAAATGAAATAAAATAAAACAGCAAAACAACCAAATCCTAACGCTGAAATATAGAAGGCAAGTTTCTATTCTACGTCATGGCACTTTGAGGATGAATTTTGCTCATTATATGCTGTGCACCCCTCTGTTTAGTTAAAATGATAGCTATCCAAAAAGCAGTATGTAGTTGGTGAGCCATCTGAGCAGATAAAAAGTGCCTAACTGTGTACAACATGATCCTGGTGCTGCACCAGCACTCTCTGGATTTAGTGATCATTATCATACTATTATCATACATAAGTATCATACCATACATTGGACTAAGGTGCTTTGATTGGAAAAACTGTGACTGGTTCTCTTAATATGCACACATAGAATCAAAGAATTCTAGAATGGATTTGTTTGAAAGGATCGTTCTTGAAGTTCCAACCCCTGCTGTGGGCTGGGTGCCTCCAAATGCCTCCACCAGCCCATCCATGGCCTTGGGCACCTCCAGGGATGGGGCACCACAGCTCTGGGCAGCAGTGCCAGGGCAGCAACGCCCTCTGATTCAACAATTTCATCCTAACACCTAACCTAAATCTCCCCTTTTAGTTTAAAGTCATTCCCCCTTGTCCTATCACTATCAGAGTGTGTAAAAAGTCATTCCCTTCCTGTTTGTACGCTCTCTTCAAATACTGCGAGGCTGCAATGAGACCTCACATCCTCCACATCCTCCCATGTCTTCTACTGAATGCTATACGTATTGTAGAACAGTAAGCACTCCTAATAATAATTTTAAGCTAGGCAATTTCTTTCTGTTTGCCTCAGAGCCAACTCTGTTGCTGCTGCACGGCCTCAGATAGCCCAGTCCAAGGAACTGCTGACGTTGAGGCATATCAGCAACCCTCCAAGGGCCATCTGCTGTTCTGCCCTGAGTAGCAGAGCTTTGGAGAGCAGGCTGAACCCTGATGTTGGGCTGCACACCAACAGATGCAGCTTTGGGCACATCTCAGAAGACACATGAGTGGAGAGAGCTCAGCAAATGCGCTGAAAACTCAACTACAGTCAGTTCACACGTACCCACAAAGATAATTGCAGCAATCCTTTGCAAAAGCTGAGCCACTGGCAATCCAACAGACAGCTCCAGGGAAAGTCAGTGCGTGATAACACAGCACTGTGCTTAGTGGAGCTGAAATTCACGTGATTCTGCCTCGTTGTATTTTTTTTAACCATATTTGATGGTCTCAAAAATGATAAATGCACCCTCGAGGGAATTGCAGGAAAGTCCTCTCCTTCTTCCTAAGTACTACTGGCTTCAGACTCACGTAGGAAATGTGTTGGTGTCTTTTTCACCTTCAAATTTAGGTGCAATCCTTTCCTCCTGGAACAGAAGCCCAGGGGGCGATTGGGTCTTCACAGATGCTTAGTAATTGGCTTAGTTTCTGTGGGTTAGCAACAGGACAGGTCAGAAATATTTTTTAATGAAAATGTGCATTTGTCACAACTGAAGCTGTGGTAAGAAAGGTCAGTTTCAATGAAATTCCAGACTTGAAACAGTTGAAAAGCAAAAATGGTTTGAAATCACTGAAAAAAATTTTGTTTTTTTGTTCCATGAAACAAGACAAAAAATAAATGCATATATTAAAAGAAAGCAACTCAGAATTAGCCAATGAAAAGAAACTTACAGAGCCCAGCTTTGTGGTGGGAAGGCTGTTAGAAAGCTGCTTAAAATTTCAATGTTTTGTCACTATTTAGACCAATGAAATCTACTTGCTTTTAAAATCAATGTCATTTTCATGGGAAAAGGAAAGCATTCTTCTCACCCTGGAATGGAAATCTCAGGCTCTGCATAAGCTGTCATTTTAAAACCAGGCAAAGCTGCATTTGATATTGCTGAATTTTACTGTTTATCTTCAGTTCATTAAAATTGACATTATATTGACAGTAGTAGAAAAAAAAAATCAAGAGGATCTGTTCCTAAACATTTTTTCCCATTTTTTTCTAGGAATCACAGAGTAAAATAAATTATAATAAAATAAAACAAAACTTTAAAAAGTATCCTAGGAAAAAAAAAAACAAACAATCAAACCAAAAAAACACTCAAATCAAATGCATCATAATTTTCAATAACCATAAACTTGTTCACGAATGTTCTTGAGTTTGTAATATGTTCATTTCAGTATCCCATCACAAGCATGGCTTTTGAAGGCTCAGACAAGAAGCAAATACTGTGTGCATGATCACAGAATCATGGAATCATTAAGGTTGGAAGAGACCACAAAGATTATCCAGTCCAAACATCCACCTACCCCAGTGTTGCCCGCTAACCATGCCCCTTAGAACTGCACCTGCCCTCTCCCTATACACATCCAGGGATGCTGACCCCATCACCTCCCTGGGCAGCCTTTTCCAATGCATCACCACTCCTCCTGGGAGGAATTTTTTCCTAATATCTGACCTGACCCTCACCTGGCAAACTTGAGGCCATCCCCTCTCATCCTATTGCTGTCACCTGGGAGAAGAGGCCAAGCCCCACCTCACCACAACCTCCTCTCAGGGAGCTGAAGAGAAGGTAAGGTAAAAAGTTCCATATTTCTCTGATATTTTTGAATAGAAATGCTATGTTTTATACCAGAACCTCTTACCTCAATGTGGTTGGCAGGAGCTCTGATGTAGATCCCTGCTGGTGACAGAGTCTCAATGTTGGATAAACCATCTGTTGCAGAAAGGCCAATCACTATGTTGTTTCTGATTCTGTTCCCCTTCTCCAGGCCACTTCCTTAAAAATAAAATACAATAGTAGGATTAGATGTGGAGGTTGGCAGCTCTGCCTGTGGCAGGGAGGTTGGAGCTTGATGATCCTTAGGGTCCCTTCCAACCCAACCATTCTACGATAATAAATAAATGGAGAAAAATAAATATATATACCTGGACACCCTCTACAGTACATATCAGAGAACTTGCCTGCTTTGCTGGCATGGTACACCTGAGAATCAGCTTTGTGTGACTGTCCCTGGGTAAGTCATGGTCGCATCTGTGTTTAACACACGGCAAAAAATGGCTGTGACACATTCAGAGACTGCCATGACTAAAGCCAGCAATGGCAAGGGGATGGCAGCGTGCTTCACAAATGCCAGAAGGCCACAAGCAAGATAAAATAGAATAGTTCTGTTGGAAGGGTTCTTCAAAGGTTATCTAGTCCAACTGCCAACATTGATATCGACTCCATTAACGATCTCACCAAGATTTGTCCAACATCGTAAATATAAAAAAAAAATAAAAAAGAACTTGCATTCTAATCAGACAGATACAGTCAGGGAAAGAAATAATATCATATTCTACCAAAAACGCAACCAAGATCACAATTCCACAATTTGAGCTGCAGAAAATACCTGATAAAGTTTTATATATAATCACTGCAGCCATGCTTTAAGCCAGGTTTATGGAGAAAATGAATAAAAAGAGTATGATAGAATCATAGAATCATAGAATCATAGAATCACCAAGGTTGGAAAAGACCTAAAAGATCATCCAGTCCAACCGTTCACCTATTCTCAATTGCTCCTACTAAACCATGTCCCTCAATACAACATCCAGTCTTTCCTTGAACACCCCCAGGGTCACTGACTCCACCACTCCATATTTTACAGCTTGGAGAAAAAAAAAAAGAGATTCCAAGTCATTCCACTTGTGGACACACAGGCAATGCTTCTGGCAGTGCTAAAATTAAAAGTTATCTCTCCTGTGTCTCCATCCATTGCCCCATATGTATATAAGTAAAAATTTAAACAGATCCTAAAAGCACCACTGCTACCCTACACATCAGTGGAGGTCCCCTACCCACAAAAGTGAAACGTGAGAAGTTGATCACTCAGTGATCACACAGCTCACAGTGACAGCGTGCACCACATCAGTACTGACACAGTAAGGAAAATATTCACATTTCCTTCTGAACTACACCACAAAGAAACGTGCCACCCAATGGGGAATAGTGGACAGTCCTACATACAGGTCAACTTCCAGTAATGACACATCAGCACATGTCTCTCTGGTCTGGAAGCAGAATAAAAAGTGAGTCATTTCTACTTGACCCACATCAGGAGCAAATAACATCTATTTAGTTTTGTTCTGTTGAACTGAAATGATTCACTTTACCTGCTCTGGTTTATCCCAGTCATTACTACCCTAAATGTAAACAACAGAAGTACATCAGGGATTTTGGCTGTGGGAAGGGAGTAATCGTTTTCAGTCTTTCTCAGTCTTCTGAACATTTCTCCATTTTTGAACAACATCCATTTTGGAAATATTTCCTTTTCAGGTTGTGCTTACTACAAACAATGCTACTACTAAGCAGGGTCCTAAAGCAGTCCTTTTGAAAGCCATACAGTTTTGTGAGGTGGCAAAAAAAGGTTTGGGCTTCCAAGCTGAGCCCTGGTATGTCAATTAATTCTAAGCCCAGAGCAACTTTTTATGACTGTCTTGCAAAACCCCTGAAAATAAGGGTTTTAGATGAAATCACTGAGGGAGTCCAATTCTGGAGCTGCAAACAGCCAGCTGTAATAAATATTCCTTCACAGGCAACAAAATGATACATAAATCCATCCATCAGACCCTCTGGAGCTGCTGGCAGTGAAGCCATTAAAGACATCTTGGGGATAAGGTGTATTCAGGCTGAAACTTCAGAGGAAATGTTCAGCTCAGCCCAGAGTCCTTTCAGTCAGACGTGTGTCCTGTCCTAGCACAAGGGAGCCATGGCAGCCCAGCAGGATGGAGATCTCATTCTGCTTCCCACGGCCTCAAGAGCTGCTGTGTGTGATGAGTGACCACATCTCTCTGCGCCAGCTCTCCTCTTCTGCAAGATGTGTACAGTAGCTCTTCTTTTATGGCTCTCTTCTGTTTAAACTGTGATCTATCACATCCTATTATATTTATATATGGGATCGAGCATAGGGACTCTCTGTGTGTGTGGAACTGCAGGATCAGGACTGAAGGCTCTTTTTTAACCTCTCTTTCTCCTGAAATTGATCATTTTTTATCCTGTTCCTGACAGAAAACAAAACTCATGCTGCATCTTTAGGGATTCAGGCAACGTGAGATCCCAGCGGAAGATGCTGCGAGTCAGGCTCCTGACAGTTAGTTCAGAGAAATATTTTGTTGTTTAACAGTTTTGTTGCTCCAAGCTCCAATTTATTTAAGTGCTAAATCCTCTGCTTAACTTTTAACATATGCTTTCACTCCATTATCTTTGATGTCAAATGACTGGAGTTAAAGGTAAGTATGCTCTTAAATGCCTCGCTGAACTGGGGTCTTAAATATTGCATAATGGTGCTCTTCCACAGAGAAATACACCAGTTCCCTAAAAAGAAATTTCTTTCCATTTGTATTCAGTGAAATAAAAGGATACAGAGCAAGTGAAGACTAATCTGAACAAACATAGAGAATATGGCCAAACAGAAATAGTTGCTAGGAGTTACATGAGGAAGAAGACTGAGAGATTTACTCCAGATTCACTAATAAGAGAAAATGTGGAAGATGTGATTAAAATCATGAGGGTGCAGTTAAGGATCCTTTCCTCCAAAGACATTTTCAAGGAAATGATCATCAGCAAACGCTGCTATTACATGTAGGATAGATACTTTCCTGCTTCACTTACCCAGTAGAAGCCCATGTCCTGAAATGTTAAAGAAGACATTACTGTCTACACTAAGGTTTGAGATCCCAGTCAGATGGAGCCCTTGGCCAAAGGAGTCCAAAAAACAGCAACCACGTATGTAAGAATCTGGAAAGAAAAGAGGTTGGAGAATTTAATATTAGCTCCTACTCCTATGATGCTATGCAGTTAATCCTTTTTGCTTCCATGAGACTGACCAGTTGAAGCTGAAATTTGCTCATCTTTGCCAACAAGTGGGCATTGCTGAAATAGCTGCAGTAGAAGAGAGGGGCCCCAAGCACAGAAACAGGTTACTCGAGGCATCTCGTGTTATGTGGGGGGAGAAGATCCAAATGAAAGGATCATGTAAGTGAGCTACATTATGAGCTGAGGTAACGGGGGGATTGAAGTGGGATTGAATGAAAGGAAGAACGTAGCAGAAGGCTGGGTATCTTATCCACCTTGTGTAGCCAGGCATGATGACCACCTTAATGTACTTCATGATCATGGCCAGAACTGCCTTCTGACACCAGAAAGCCTAGATCATCATTAAATGATGAAGCTGGCATAGGGAAGACAAAGCTGTGAGTTAACTGGAGGGGAAGATCCAATCCAGAGTCTTTCAAACATTTGAGCCCATCTAACTCGCTCCCACCTCCACCAGTCTTCAGAGACCTCGTTGCCACTTCCACAGAGATTAATTTCGTGCTTACCAATCACCCAGTCAAAATAAGTGTTCCTTAACTTTCAGGTGATATAACTAAATATTGGTTTACGCTATGGAACATCCCTGAGTCAGCTCAGGACTCACTCATGGTATATTATGGCTTTCATTTCCAGAACTAGAAGCAGCACAGCGACTCGAAGACGTACCATAAAAATGAAACACTATTTAGAAAGGAGCTGTCAAAAACCACAAAGGAACCAAAACAATTCAAAGGACTCCATCAAGTGTTACTTGGTCTTAGTCTACAGGTAAAGCTCTCTCACTTTTCTCACGTTTACAGTCCTATGGTGTTAACTGACACCAGAGCTAAGCAGGGTTTTGAGAATATCTTTCCCAGTTGGAAAGATGGATCTGTGAGATTGTTTGGGCTCATGTCCAGAGCAGCTGTCTCACCTGCCATCTGTGCATTGCCAGCAACTGTAAGGGCACTGCGTTGCTGCCAAAATGCTTGGCCCATGTGGTAGAACTGGACCCCCTCCACTTGCAGCTGACTCGTTGCTCCCTGGAAGGCTTCCACAATGACAACAGCTCCCAGGTCCCGAGACCCCAGCTGCCTCTCACTTCGCTTGTACAGACACCTGGAGCCACCTAGAAGACAACCCAGTAGGAACTATCAGTTTTACATATCAGCTGTGACAGTGGGACATGCAGAGTCCTTTGAGGCAACTCATGAGGCCCACCACACCGACTCAGAGAACTCCTGTTTCCTGCAGCGATCTTAAACACGTGCCCAAAGACAAACAGCCACAGGCAAGCTTGCACGATACTCCCCCTAAGTACTTCCACAGTTTCTCACCTCAGAGTCTGGACATTTTTAGAGGAAGGTATATTAAAACCAGCAGGAAGCTGTGCTAGTTTTATGCTTAGGAAAGTTCCTTGTGTTCAATTTTAAACAGGCCTACGCACAGGGATGATGGATTTGACATTGATTTACCTTGGGTGAGGCTCTTGAAAAGGGGATTGGGCACGGCTGTACTGAACTGAGCTGAAATGAGAACATTTTGAAATTTCTTTAAAACCCTCTCCCTCCCAACTGCCCCCACAGACATGTGAGGAAACGTTCGTACCCACAGACAGAAGGTAAGGAAAGGAGATGATAGGGCTGCGGAAGGAATCGACATTCCTCAAAGGTGTCCTTTCCCCAGGTCCGTGCTCAGGATATTTTGGTTCAGGGGGATTCAGGCTATGAATGTGTAAATCGGTCCTGCTTACACTCAGCAATGCTCATTTTTCTTTTAAAGATGGTAAATTAACCACAAGAAACACTGCCCACTCATCTTCTGGTGACTCCTCTGAGAAATCCTCCTATACTTTAATGCAAATAAAAACCTCAAACAGTTAGCACATTTCAGAGACTATATTTATGAGTTCCACACAAAATGGACCATAAATCCATGAGTAATATAAGCAGTTGGCTGCTGGATATCAAATGAAGTCTTGTGTCACAGTCTGAGTGCCCAAGGCGTTTTATTTTTAAAGGGAGCCTTATACCTGGGTTGCCAGATAACCTAACTCTCCTTAAATTATAATCGCTGTGTCGGACTGCATTTCCTCACCTGCAGGTGTAAATCAGGAAGCCATCCGTCAAACTTCACTGTGCCTTACAAACATAAAACCAAAGGAGAATTGAGATACCTATTGTTTCACCACTGCTACTAAATACTACAAGACGCTGTCACCTGTTTTTTTTCCTCAGGATCCCCAAATAACACCATAATTTTTTACACTACAGAGTACAATAAGCATCAGGGTGCTTTGTTTTTCTTTCTTCTAAAAGTTTCTAAATAGTAAACACAATTAAAAATTTAATATATTATGTACACTGAAGTATGCTTTCAGAAAACACTTTCTTTGCTATACCCTTAGGCTCAGGCAAAACTAAAGGGTCTTTCCCAAGATGGCTTGAAACAATAATGCGAAAACAGTACATCTGAGATGTTACAATGAAATGCACTTCAACTCCCAAGACTTCATACTTCAATGTCAAATGATGTTTGGAAAGATAAAACTGTTCTCCTGGCACCGATATGTCTCCGCTTTACTCTATTAAGAAGCATTTCTAACGCACAGTGATACCACAGTGTGATTTTAGAGAAGAAATTTTACTCTTGAGTACCTCTCAAGACCTCCTCACCTCTTGTGCCACCTGCTTCTGCACACTCTCTGACGTGGGAGATCCTCTCCTTCGTGACATTCCCTTGAACAATAACCCTTCTGCTAAGCAGTGCCACCACAGCAGTCAAAGGCAGGCTCTGGCCATTCACTCTTTCCTCTCCAACGTTGTGGGAGTACCTAGGGAAAGACAACAAAAGTACAGAAGCACCTGCAGCTGACAGATGGCAGGAATGATGTTGACCCTAACCATCCAAATCCAACTTCAGCCCCCTTCTCACTGCTGACATCAAGAATTACCTCTATCTGTTACATCAGCATATATGGGCTAGATATATATTTCCTTGGTTGACATTTATTTTCATCTTGTCTCACAAGTTCACAAATTCTCTTTGCATTTGATACTTATACACCAAAATATTTCAACATTTGAATTTCCTTCATCTTCTGAAAACATACTGTCAGTATTTTCTTCTTCAAGCCCCAAATATTTTTACACAGAAATGATACCATTGGCATTTATGGGTACTGGAGATAGGCTGCCATCAACATAGAGAAAATATTGCAACACTGGGACTCCAAGTTACAATGCAAGAAGTATAGTTTGGCCAAGGCCTTCATGCGTAGAAAATGAAGAGAGCATAAGGAGCTAAACTAATGTTCAGTAGAAACAAAGAAGCAGTATTTCCAAACTGAAGTAATTCACTTTGAGTGTTTTGTTAATTAACTTAAGTAATTCAGTAGAGAAGGGAAGGATTTTTTTTTTTAACAAAATCAGACACTTTCTGTGGGAAAAACAAACAAACAAACAAAAAAAAAACACTCAAGAAAATAACTTTTCAGGAAAATTCTTAGCCAATTCTGTGCTAAGGCCACTGGACTGAACTAACCATTGGTGTTTTCTGATACAAAGGTCCACGGTTATGATACAGGATTTAAACACAGAATCATAGAATAATTAAGCTTGGAAAAGACCTCTAAGATCATCTAGTCCAACCACCCACCTACCACCAAAACTGCCCACTAAATCATGTCCCTTAGAGCCACCAGTGAGAATGCATTCAATATTTAATGTCTGCTGGCTTTCAGGTGAGCAAAGAATTGAAATATCTCTGACCACTTCTGTTTAAAGGACTTACATATAGTTATTAAGTCCCACAGGAAACTGCAAATCCTCACCTAGACCATATTTTCTCCTGGTTTCACTTTTTGCTATTGAAACCCCGTTTCTCCTTGAAAAGATACCTGAGTGGTGACCTAAGGTAGAGCTCAGTGTTATTGACAGACTCAATAACGGCCACTTCTTCTTGCTGCTGTGCATCTCCAAGACCTGTCCTTCCCACCACAATTTCATCACCAGGTTCCCAGTCAACAGGTTTCTGGAGCACTAATCGTAAGTCGTTAGCAAGAGCTGATGACTTCAAGTATGTGAAAGTGACTTTGGGCATCCAGCCTGGAAAAAAAAGAAAAACTCGCTATATATATAGATATATAAAAACAAAACAGAAAAAGGATTTGCCTTCTTAGAAAACACTGCTTCACTTGGATCATTCACTTCTCTTTGACTCCATGTCAGAGAGATGGGAGTAATGCTATAAAACATGATATGTGCACATTCTTTTGAATCAGAAATGTTGCATTTTCCAAACAGTATCTTCATTTCATATCTTTTAGTCTTTATCGGTCCTAAACAGCAGAAAAACATGTTAGGAAGGAGTCTGCTCAAAAGGTTGCAGGAGCTGAGGTTGTTTCATTCCATCTGAAGGCAAGAAACACTTCTAAAGCTCCTTCTATTACAAACAACAGAGGAAAGCACTTTTTTGCAGAGACAAAAACTATTTCAAATTATCAGATTCCTCTCTCAGGTATCCAAAATGAGATGAAATAAGTCTGGGCCTACAAATAACTTGCATTCACAGAAGTGCATAGTGAAAGATGACTACCTCTGCTTTTAAGAACTTGCAAGACTCACTGAGGATGGTTCAGCTAGCAACACCAGGTCATTTTCACATTGTCTCTCTGGAGAACCCAAAGCAAGAGCTCACTGTTTGAGAACCTGCCTTAACCATCTGACTGTGTCATACAGTGCAACCGGTTGGCTGCAAAATGAAGCACACAGCTCATATGTGTGGCATGCAGCAAGCCTGCTTTCAAACAGCTGACCAAAATAAAAATAAAAAATCAACCAAAAAAAAAAGTGCTGATTGTCTTTTTTTGCCACTTGGTAGCTATGGTAGATAGCAGATAGTAGATATGGCAATCTGATTGGCCCAGCATGAAATAATGTGATGAACAGGATTCTGCAACTGCTTAGAAGTGTATCTCAATCTGTTTCCAGCTGAGATCACACACAGGCCTCCATGGGAAAAGCCTTCTCCACAGGCAGTCTGCAAAGCAGACACACAGTACGAGTGCACAAGTCAGTAGGACTTCAGGGTGAAGAAGAGCCCCTTGCATGAGCAGCCATAAGTCAGCTTTGAAAGGCAACAGAAAGGTAACAACAGATTCCCAAATCTTCTCTTCACTGGACATTCTACCAAACTTGGGCACAACAAGACCCAGCAATGAAACTTCAGGACATTTTAACCTCCCTTCTTTGTTTCATGAGGTTTGCTTTAACTCTTACCTAGCTTACCTTTAACTTACCTTTACCTTTAACTCTTACCTATTCTTTGGAGCAGATTGTTCCAGTGAGATCCAGCACACTGAACACCATCAGGGGAGAAAACGTGAGCCTCACACACTCTCCTTTAGTATATTTTTCCTTCCCTCCTTTGCAATAGATCATAATTTACCTTTAGCCCTCAGCAAGTTACTGTCCTCCCTGGTTGTACTATAGAAAAGTAATAACACCAGAAATCACTAAGGGTAGAGGTTGCATCCAATAAATCATTTTCAAATTATTTTAAGCAAGCTTCTCTCTCTCTCTCTCTCTCCATTTCCTGTTTCATGTTCTGGTTGCTTTCACTCTAGTGTCCCAATTCCTCTTTCTTTAATGAAGGTGGAAATAACAGGTAGCACCCCAAGTCAATGAATTCACAGCAGAATGAGAGAAGATAGAATCAAGCCTTCGTACTCTGTGAACCTAAAGAATTTTTGAGTACCTGGTGTGTGTGTCAACGAGATGAAACACATTAAACGTAGCTGAGATATCTCTAGTTGATTATTTTTCCTTTTTCTTAAAGTAGAATTGGAATATCTCCACTTACAGCTAAGTAAATTTCCCAAACATCCCTTCTTCCAGTCCAGTGTTGATGCACTATAAAGACTTGGAGGATATTGATGCAAAGGGAAGAGGTAGAATATTTAAAGCAGTGAAATAGGACATTTAAAGTGGTGAGAATGTGTGAACTCAAATAAGATGACGAATGAGAAAAAATAGCCATCTTTCAGCACAACAGCTGTTCTATTTGCTGATCACTGATCACTGTCTGGTCAAAAAGTTGTAATGCTTTGAAAGGTGCCTCCTTGATGACCCCTTCTGATGATCTTGAGGAAAGCACTCATCTCCCTTCCACCAAACATCCTGGGATTGTAAGCACTGCTGGATGAGGATGTTCCATAGAAGAGGCCTGGCAATCAATCACACTGAAATAGCTTCAGTGTATTTTTTAGAATAAACTCGTGCTTATATGCCATCACCACCTGAGATAAGAGGAGAATATCAGAGAAAATACAGGTAGGTGCATTTCCCACCCTTCATAAAGTTCTAGTGGCTCCTTAGGCAGATGCAAGAGGAGTCAGTATAGTAGTCATCAATTCAAGGAGAGCTGTACACTGTTGGGGGATCCCTTTTTCATCAGCTCCCTCTATTTATGCCGCTACACAGAGAATACAAGTTTCTAAGAAACAAAAGGAAGCACATTTTTCCCCTCTGCACAAAGAGCAGCACTTTGTACATCGCCCTTTTGAGCAAGCATAGCTGGTGCAGAGAAATGCTCTTGCTATCAGCTGACATGCATCTTTTTACTAGCAGCAGTCCCATCATTGTTATTCATTTACCTTCTTTTATTGAGTGAACCTCGTGAATTTTTAGGGCCTGCATAAAAACCAACAACTGACAGCAGCCATCTGCATGTTGAGCAGCAGACTATTTTTTTCTCTAGCTCTGGACATTTTGCTCATGTTCACGTGTTAGCGTGCATTTGTGTGCATCTGTGGCCAAACACACAATTGCTTCCCATTGCATACATCTGTCACACACACACTACAGCAACCATTATAAAAATACTGCTGATGCAAATCACTGTTCTGCATTCAAAATGAAAAGGTCTCCTTCAGGCTTTTCCATTCCCAGGCTCAGAATTAAAAATCACTAAGGAGATTTTTTCCAAGTCTTCTTCTCCCGAAGGAAAAGTATTAAATGTATTCAAAATTTTTTCTTCTTCTTCTTCTTTTTTTTCATTTGACTTATTATTATGTTTCTTAAGCCTCCTTCTCTATCTTCCATATTCCAAAGTGCAACACTGCAACTTTCATCTCCAATAATTCCAAATATAGGTAAACGTGTCTCTGTGCTAGTACAGGCACAGGAGTGCATTCAGCACAGTTGCTCTTGTGCATCTCATTTATTCTCTTGCAGTTTGCATCCACAGACAACACACTCATGTTCTTTACGCCACAGGCAACCAGAAGGCATCTCACACAGAATCACAGGAGTTGGAAGGGAACTGAAGAGGTCATCAAGTCCAAGCCCTCTGCTAAAGCAGTTGCCTACAGTAGATCACACAGCTGGGAGTCCAGATGGGTCTGGAATGTCTCCATAGAAGACTCCACCACTTCTCTGGGCAGCCTGTTCCAGTGCTCCATCATCCTTATTGAAAAGAAGCTCTTCTTGTTTGTATGGAACCTCCTGTGCTCAAGTTTTAGGCCATTGCTCCTTGCCCTATCACTACACACCAAGAGCCTGGCCTCATCCATTTGCCTCTCACCTCCCTGTAGATATTTATAAACCTTAGATCTCACTGCCTGGTGATTTATTGGAAAACAGATGCTCCTGCCCAGGAAACAAGACTTCCTATAGCAGGCATTGTCACCCAACTTTAGGTATGCAAGGAGCAAACCTCCTAATTGTAGGGAACCAATCTCCTAACCAAGCCTGAGAGCAACCAGTATGAGGTCCAGCCAGATTCAGGCAAAGCTGGATCCTGCATTGGGGTACTGGTAGAAAACAGACTATTTAAATTAGTTTAAATGAGGACTTGCTCCATCCCTAAGCCTGCCATGAGACCAATGGCATTTCTCCCAGCAGCAGTTAAAATGTTTCAAACAATCATTTTTTCCTGCTCATACTGCATGGGCCTGCAGGTTCTGAGCCCTTCTCCTACAGTGACACAGGTCGGGATCTCATCTTCACTTCCATCTACCACAAATCAATCAACTCAGTTACAAACAAACTGTTTGCAGTGGTGACAAACTAGAGAGCTCTTTACACCTCTGGACAGTTTACTGGTGCTTTAAAGTTGAGCTAATGAGGTCTTGTGATACCACAAAAGGAATTTACAAGAATTGCAGGGCTCAGACATGCAATCTACTTACCATGACTATACAAGTCATAGTGCTGACAGTCTGTCAATCTCTTGCAGCTACAGTGCAGATCTGTAGTGTAAATGAGAATAAGATCTTTCCATTTCCACAAATAAAGTGAAAAGGAACAGGCAGTTCACATTTTCTTCAAACAAAGGAATGTTGCAGGAGATGAAGGTAAAAATATAATTCAATAAATTATAGCCAAAAAAAAAAAGGCAAAAAAAAAAGAAAAAACAAAACCCACAGTATAGTCTTTGGCAGTAAAAGAATATTTACTGCAGCATTTCAGGTGTCAAACTGCCTAAGGAATCCAGCTTCATCTCCACTGTCATAACCTCATATTAAAAAACTTTTCCTTATCCAAATTGAACTGCCCTTTCAAACTGAGCCTGGCCATTCCTGAAATTTCCAAATGTCAAAGCAATTAAATGGCAGTGCAGCCATTGGGAACAGTTGCTTCAGGAAACAGATTTTTAAAAAATATTTTGAGATCCAGAAAAGAGACTTCCTGTTGTTGCTGCTTCACAGTTAATAAAAATTAAAGCCATAAAAATAACATAAAGCCTTCCTTACATTAAAAAGAATAGGACATATTTTTCAGAAAGCCTCCTTGGTCTGTGTTGCTACAGTTCCCTATGGACTTTATCTTTAAGTTGAACCTTTCTTTAAGTTGGACCTATCTTTAAGTTAGGGACGTGGAGTGATGAAATCATGTCATGAATCACAGGACAGGTAAGATAGGGTAGATGGAGTGGAACGGGATGGAATGGAGTAGAACAGAACAGCACAGGATAGAATCACTCAGTTGGAAGGGATGTACAAAGACCATCGAGTCCAACTGCCCGACCACTTCAGGGCAACCCAAAAGTTAAAGCACGTTACTGAGGGCAATGTCCTCTTGCACACTGACAGCCATGGGGCATC